AAACTCTAACATGTAAGCTTGTAGTTTACTTCAATCTTCCAATGCCAGATTGCGTAAGTAGTTTTTGGTCGAGGCAACCTTATATTTTCCGCTACATGTAAGGTCAATCCACGAAGGACTATCAGCCTAGAAATTTGAGAAGCTCCTCTCTGAAGTAAGTGACCACTGCAATGTTTTCGAAAAACCACTTCTTTTTCCAAACTTAATAATTCTGCATTAGGAGCGTATACATATTAGGCCTTCCTCAGACTTTTCGTTTTTTTTTGAGTAAGTTTTTTTGAAGTTGATATTTTTTCGAATTTTGGAGCCTTATAACATATGGAAATCTTAAACCCTAGAACTTGTACTAATGAAAAATGTCTTCTCCATAAAACTTGTGTCAAGTCCAATGGGAGCCGGAAAATCCAACTTTTAAAGTTTCTAAGTAAACAGCACTCGAAAAAATCTAGAACAAAAAAAACTGACGTCAATGATCTAAGAGTTTCGGATTATTTGATGAAATCGCACGAGAGTCTTCTTCTCGATTATGTCAACTTTACAAGCACTCGAGACTTCCCCCAATTTTCCATAGGGTTTGCCGTTTTATACACTTCACCATTATTCAACTACGTTCCGATTTTCAGAATATTTTGGCTGATTGATCTTTGAAAATTTCCGATTATAGCAGTCTAAGAACCAATAGGAATCGAACGCTCAAATATATTCCTTTCAACCTTTTGTAATCAAAAAATCTACTGCTTTTTTGAAAAGTGTGGGAAAAAACAGGCAACTTGACTCCGTTTCTCCGCCCATTTCAAAGCCACGCCCCTTTTTGGCGGCTCGTTTTCTACCGGTTCCCTCAACAAGCTTCTGACGACACCTTTTCTCGATTATTTTTTGAATTTTTTAAATTTTACTTTTTTCTATTCTTGAACGACTACAGAAGTTGATCCAGCTTTTTTTTTTGCGACGCTCTGAGCCATTCCAAACGCGACCAAAGTTATCGAATCGAAATTTAGAGCTCATCCGAAAAAAAAACTTTCTCTCGCAAAAAAATGAACTTTATTAGTGCTGACCGCAACGCCTCCGCTACACATCAGCTATTCCAAATGCGGTCCAAGTTTTGTCAAAAAGCTAGATTTTCATTTCAACTGTACCCACCGGGAACAACGCCATTATCACTTGAAGTCATTGTTTCCAGTCCTAATCGTTCCAATTTCGACCACGCAATCCAATTTGTTCGGTTTGAAAACGCGAAAGAAGAATAGGGGAATAACTTAATAAAAACGCCCTGACGGCCAACAATGGGTCGTCGTTTTACAAGACGAGGCCAAATTGGTCCATTTCAACACAGTTTATTGGCGTGTATGTTCCGTCGACCGTTTTCTTTTCAGCCCCTTTTCAGGTGGTTTACTCGGTTTTGGGGTTTTGGTGATTGGACTGCTACTTGTATGTGGTAGATCGCAATTATTCGTGGTTTATGTCAGTTTTTGATTTTTTTTTTTTAATTTAATACTTTGGAATGGCTCAAAGCGTCGCGGCCGTGTAGCGGTTGCCGTTTTGGGGCTCACTCTAGTGCTTTGCGATACTAATGAGCGCAAGTCGTTTCAAGTCGGGTGCGTCTTGAAGCCACCTTGTTGGACATTCCGTCATTTAATCAAATTCTTTGGTATAACATAAATTTTAGCGCATCTCCGATTTTGATCAATCAATTTTGAACTTTCCGACATAAATTGAAACCTCTGTCAATTATGAGGTCATTAATTTGAAATAAATCTTTTATGACGTCACTATTTCATGAATTATGTACTTTTTCATTCCGAGTTCTTGATGATGAGGATATACTACAACTTAAGAGATTTTTTTCACTCTTTTGAGTCTTAATCTCTAAAGTGACCCCTTAAGCTTCTGTAGTGGCCTCTGTAAGAAAAACTTTCATCATTCGCCTCCTTAAGTGGTCACTCTCTGGATTTTTCACTAATTTGAGAAAAAGAGAATTTTTTAAATAATTTTTGTTTTTTTTTAATCTGATTTCTTCACTCTAGGTTCCCCTTGGAGTTTTTTTTCATGTTCTGAACTTTTCCGCCGCTTCTCTATTATTGTGCGTTCATCCATTGACTTGGCTATTCGGCCAATCTTTTCTTCACCGTTTTATTGCGTCCGAGTTTCTATTGTACCTGAGTTTCTTCATCTTTTTCTTGCTTCTTTATTGGATAGAATGGAATAATGATGGCATTGTGGTTTTATTGGGTTTCTTATTGTCCAAGAAATATTCTAGCGGTGGAAGATGGTAAAAATCTTGAATCAGTAAAGAAAAAGTCAACTTTTCATGAACTAACAAAAAATCATTCATTTCTCAAATTAAAGACCATTTTTAACACTCTTCAGTAGTTTTTTTTCCTTCGGTTCCGCTTTTAAGGTATCTTATCAATGTTACTGACTTTTCCGAGACGCGGAAACAATTTTTTTGTTTGACTTTCTATTCAGAAATTAAATCGATTAGTTGACAATTATTATGAAAAGTTGGTGAAATATTCTGTCAAATATACTCATTATCGAAGTTTGAAATCTGATTTCTTATTATTTGCGCCAGAAACGTATACGTTCTTGGTACGAAATGAATTTTCTGCCATGGCAAACTCGGTTAGATGCTAGTCATATGCTCAAACAGTCGTTGGTTCGATCCCGCTCGAGGAATATCTTTTTTTGCCGTTTTTGATTTTGAAAAGTTTTTTAACTTAAATTATCTATGGGTTTTCGCTTTCTCTAGAAATTTATTCAGTCATGGCGCAATTGGTAGGAAGCGAAACTGACGGCAGGAAGGTCATTGGTTCAATCCCCACAAGAATTTTTCTATTGATAAAGAGTGAAAATTCGGATTTGCCGCTTCAAAATTAGGAATTAAGCTAGCAATCACGACGGCGAACACTCAACTTGTCTTCTTCTTAAATGTGAAAGCTGAGAAAGCTTCTTCTTTTCAAGCCGAAACTGAGTGCTTTGAAAGGCGAGAAACTATCTCGCAGTTATGGCGCAGTGGGTAAAACGCTCATCTGACGCTACGGAGGTCATTAGTTCGATCCTCGCTGGAGTTTTTCTATTGATGAAATGCAAAAAATTGTTTTTGCCGCTTCGAAATTAGGAATTAAGCAAGCAATCACCACGACGAACACCTAATTTGTCCTTGAGCGTCGTCGGTGCGTCTTCTTATTCTTCTTCTCGAACCGCAAAACCGTAATGATTACACGAAAAAGGGGGCAGTTTTCAGTCAGTCAGTCAGTCACACCCGCCGCCTTTTTTTTCTCTCCTTCTCTTCAAAGTTTTCTTTTTCTTTTTGATGGTCGTGACGTCTTCTTCACAGAGGCTTCCTTCTTTTTTTTTCTATATATTTTATCGATTACAGTCTCCTTTTCGTCAAGCAAGTGGCGGTTGTCTCGCTTTTGTTCCTCTTTCGCCCACAGAGGCGCCTTTTTCCGGTTCTTCTAGTGATTTTCTTATTGATCGGCCATTCCCACCAACTGATGTGATTGTATACGGCTTAGATCTGTTTGTTTTTGTTTCGATACGATTGGGGTTACTGTAGTTTTCGTCTTAGAGTTAGGATTTTTTCGAAAAAATGTTTGGGAGTTGATTTTTTGGACTTCCATGGGGAATTGCGAGTCTTTTTTTTTAAATTTAAATACTTAGGGGCTTTTTTTCGTGATTTTTTTGTTGTGAACAATTTCGTTGATTTTTTTCGCACTTAAGATCTTTTGATTTTTTTAACGGAAGTTCTGATTTTAAACATTTCTAAATTTTTAAATTTTTTTCGAACTTTTTCAAATTTTTTTAAAAATTTGAAATAAGCTTTGATTTTTTTATATTTTGGCTGGGAGAAATTTTTCCAGAAACCCATTGCCTACCATTCATTCTTGACATTTCTGGGTTCGTCCTCTGTAGGCGGACAACAAATAGAAAAAGGCTAAAACTGACCTTCGAACACATTCTTTCCGCATTTTCCGAATTGCGTGGTTTCAGGGCGAACGGACAAATTTTTGGCCGCCGCCCACTTTTTTTTTTTCTTGACCTCTTCCTGTTCTTTTTGGCTTTTTCACATTTTCTACTTGAAAATCTTTCTTTTCTGATTTTTTTTTCTGGATATTCCATCTCTGGAAACTGTCACACCGATAAATCAACCCCACATTGATGGTCAGTTATGGGAAATTTCCAGAAACTTGATTTCTTCAGATCGTTTTCCTTTGACTTCCGTTCAGCAAAGGCAGAAAAACGATGAATTCTGGTAGATTTTTTTAGGTTTTTCTTGTTTTCTATATTCTTTGGAATGTTTAGTGAGCTTTCCTCGGAAATCAATTAATTTTGAGATAAAGATTTTTTCTTAATTTCGAAAGTCATATTTCAATATATCATTGGAATTTTTGACGGCTTTTTATGGAAGATGGCCAAATTTTTCTTTTCGGGGTTTTTTGAAGTCTTGAAGAAGTAATTTATGAGGATTTTGTGAACTCAGAGGAGTTGAAAAACATGAGTTTCTCAATTTCTAGCTTTCAATCTCGATTCTGGCTTAAAACTCATTTAATTTATTGAATTTCAAAACTGTAACCAAGTTTCACAACACCTTTTTAAAAATTTTTTCCGGTTTTCCGTCGCCCTTTGCTAGAGGCACAATTTTTTTACAGTACCGTCTAAATTTTCAATTTTTTTTTTACTTTCTCAATTTAAGGCTGAATAACTATATTTTTTTTGTAGTACTTTATTTGTTTTGTGGATCAAAAATTTATCATGGTTTTCTTGATGCGGATCTCGAAGTAGTTTTTGCTTTTTTTCTTCATATTTTCCTAAAAAAATTCGTTTTTTTGAGCACTTCTCCAGTGTTGCGATGAATGAACTATATTATTTTTCCTATCATGTTCTTTTTTTCTTGTGAATCAAAGTTTACATTGTTTTGCTTGATATTCACCTTGAATCGACTTTTTTTTCTGTAGTTTTCCTGAGAATGTTTCAATTTTTGCAGGTTTTCCAACCCGATGGGCGCTCTGCGCTCGGCCACGAGATCAATTAATTTGTTGATACTTCTGCCCTTGCTCCTCCCGATTATTACTGTTATCGGTAGGTTTCTTTTCCGATTTTAAATTTATTCCAAGCTTTTTGGTATTGTTTTCCAACTAATGTTTTCTTAATTACCTTGTTTCATTTAATCAACTTTGACGATTTACGATTTTTTTCGTTCCCACCTTCTTCTTTTTTCAAAATAGCTTTTTTGAATATTCTTGTTGTACCCTTCCGGTTGATTACTAACCAGGGAATGGTCTCAGCTCACAGTGGGACTTCTGAAAGAGACCATATTTTCTAGATGTAGTTTTTCACGCTGATTCCAAATCCGTTTTCAAAAGCTGCCACCGAGGTCTGTGAAAAAAGTTATGGACCCTCAAAAGTCGAAAATTTCATAGTCTCCGATCGAGCTCATTTTTAGAAGGTATATAGTCCTTGTTTCCCTTGTCACGATAAACCATCAAATTTTTTCAAAAAATGCTTATGAGCCAAGATATGAGCTTTCAAAGACCCACCGCACACAAGAGAATGCGCGCGCGGTGTCCTATTGCGATCTGACGGCTGTCGAAGCAACGGCAGCGAGGAGCAGTGGAAAGGCGGCGGACTGGGGATCACGAGGTCATAGGTTCGGTGCCCACGCTGTGCAAACTTTTTTTGCAGTTTTTTCTTTTTTGGATATTTCCGTGTAAGTGCTCCTTTTTTGAGTTTCGAAGCGTAGAAACATGAAAACACTGCGTTTTGAGCATATTAAAACAGCTGGATTCCTTTTTGTCGCAATTTTTTTTCATGGATTTTTTCGTGATTTTCCATGTGTATGAGCATAGGTTGGAGTGTCAAAATTTTCAGAAAAATTTTTATGGCTTTTTTTAAAATCTTTTCTTTTTCCAAATATAGTCTAACCCCAAGTCATCATAGTTACGCTTGTCGAACACAGAAAAAAAGTTTTTTTTTCTTCAATAAACTCTTCGTGCTTTGCAGTGGGCTCACCTATGACCGTCGCCTTTTACCGTCTGACTATGAATTTTCAGGAATTACATTGAACGAAACATTTTTTTTGGAGAGTTTGTTCTAAATTTTTTATTTATGGATCAAAGAAACCTCCTCGGGAATTTCAGCCACAACCTGAAATAAAATTGAAAGTTTTTTTCTTCTCGTAGAGTGGTAAGTAAAAACCGGAGCCAAAAATTCCGAAAAAAAAATGTCTGCGTTTTCTACCATCGCAGTTATGAAAACTTGCGTCTAGCCAGCTTTGAAAAAAAATAAAAATTTTTCTGAAAATTTTGACACTCCAACCTATGCTCATACACATGGAAAATCACGAAAAAATCCATGAAAAAAAATTGCGACAAAAACGAATCCAGCTGTTTTAATAAGCTCAAAATGCAGTGTTTTCATGTTTCTACGCTTCGAAACTCAAAAAAGGAGCACTTACACGGAAATATCCAAAAAAGAAAAAACTGCAAAAAAAGTTTGCACAGCGTGGGCACCGAACCTATGACCTCGTGATCCCCAGTCCGCCGCCTTTCCACTGCTCCTCGCTGCCGTTGCTTCGACAGCCGTCAGATCGCAATAGGACACCGCGCGCGCATTCTCTTGTGTGCGGTGGGTCTTTGAAAGCTCATATCTTGGCTCATAAGCATTTTTTGAAAAAATTTGATGGTTTATCGTGACAAGGGAAACAAGGACTATATACCTTCTAAAAATGAGCTCGATCGGAGACTATGAAATTTTCGACTTTTGAGGGTCCAGAACTTTTTTCACAGACCTCGGTGGCAGCTTTTGAAAACGGATTTGGAATCAGCGTGAAAAACTACATCTAGAAAATATGGTCTCTTTCAGAAGTCCCACTGTGAGCTGAGACCATTCCCTGGTAAGCACTTTTTGAGTTTATATCAGTTAGAAAATAAATTATCATTGCAAAGCTATCAGAAATGGTTTTGAAGACGTTGGGATAATTTGTTTTAATTTACCTAAAAAGTTTGAGGATATAAAAAGTTTTATATAAAGAAATATCCATCATAATTTCTTTTGGAAAGCTTTTTTTTTGAATTTTTTTGCAACTTAACTCAACCAAAAAAACATCAAATATTATTTTTTTGTCCGCCATCTTTTTTGTTTTTCGAGATTTCGGTATTAGGTTTGCTTCAAAAATTGTAGAAATTTTGTACAAATTGATATTTTAAAAAGTTTGAAGATAAAAAAATGAATAGTTATTTCAAAAAATCGTGCGAACTTCCTCAAGAAAAGTAGCGAGGCTCAAAAAAAATTTTTTTGCGTATTCTTTTCTCATTTTCTCGTCGAAATATTTACAAATTCCCTCTCAACCATTTTTTTTCCTCGAAAATTCCTCGCGTTTTCCTTTTCCAGTTGACAAATATTTACCGAACGGTTTAACTTTCTTGGTCAATTAAGTGTGGGGCAAATGGGAATTCTTTTGAGTCAAAGTGGTTTTTGTCCAGGCGGAAGGAGAATAGAGAAATGATCAAGTTTATGTGTTTTTTTGAGAAGGAAAAAAATAGGTTTTTGAATGGATTTTTTTATCTTCAAGTTGAGAAAAACGTGAAGGAAATAATAATTTTTTTCATGTGAAAAAAATAAGATGGATTTCTATTTTGTTCACAAAATTTTTTTCAGCAAAAATTTAAAAAAATTTTTTTTATCTTAGTTCCAGTGGGAATTCGTAGAAAAAAATCAAGTTCTGATAGTAGGCTTTTTTTACAAAAATTTTCTTTTTTTCTTTAAATGACTTCAATTTCAATGGACATTAAAAGAGAAATCTGACTTCAAAAAAATGATTATTTACGCAAATATATACACAAATTCAAAAAAATAAAATTATTTTTAAAATTTTTTTCAGGCCTCGAAAAAAATTGAAGAATATCAACGGTTCGATGGCTTCTACAACAACTGGGCCAACCCCAATTGGGGCTCTGTCGGTCGGTTTCCATCCAATTCGATGTCTTTCGCTCTTCAAAACAAGCTCGGATACTGAAAAAGACGTTTTCTCTAATGTTATTACCGCTGTAATTCTAAAAAAAACATTGAGGTCAAAAAAGCAAAAAAGTGTCTGGAAATTATATTTTTTTCTTCCAGAATGGCGTTTTTGTATCATCAATTGCCAGATTCTAATTTTTTTTTCCACGATATGGAAGTTTAGAGTTGATTTTTTGTTTCTGAAAAATTTCTGGCTTTTCGTAAAAATCCAAAAAAAAATCCAAAAATCATTTTCTCATTGATCGAAAAGTTTGACAAGATTTTCTTGAAGTCGGAAATTCATTTGAATAGTCAAGTTAGGTATTCTGTGTTAGAAATGCCAATTTGTCCCTTTTGCAAACAGTCTCAATCGTTTTTTTGTTGCCAGGCTCTCTGAAAATATTTTTCTTTCTATAAGTTTTAGCTTTTATTTATATAGACTTTGAAGCAAGTTGAAAAAAAAATTTCCCGGATTTACTTTTCTTTTTTTCCTTTGTAATTACCAAAGATCGACTTTATGCCATTTTTTTTTGAGTTAGCTGAAAGTTAGCTGGATCTTCACTGCTTATGCTTTTTTTTCAAATTTTCTTTTTTTTTTAGAATAATTTGCTAAATAATTTTTTACCGATTTTTTTCTTTATCTTTACAGAATTTTTGCAATAGGCAGTGCCTATGTCATCACATTCCAAAAAAGCTTCATGCATTCTGCGATACAGTGCTTTGCATTTTGCACAGATGTACCTCGCATTTTGCACTTTTTTCGTCTGTTAAAAAGTGAGACTAAAAAGAGATGCAAAATGCGAGGAACTTCTAGGCAAAATGCGAAGCTCTGATTTTTGTAGAGATCTCTATGGGATCTAATGCCGTGTTCAAAGTAATTTCCGCGAAATGCAAAATACCCGTTAGAGAAAGGAAAAGATCACTAAATTTTGGAGGGTCAGAGACCATTTTGCATTTCGCGGAAATTACTTTGAACACGGCATAAAGCATGTTGATGACAGTTTTCCGGGATAATGTAACTTTTTTTTTTCTTGAAGTTTATATCAGTGATTTTTTCTTTCCAAGCTTTATTCGATAGGATATGTAATGGAACTTCAAAAAGATTTTCTTTGAACAAGTCCTCTCAGAATGCGAACCATGCAAAGCTCAGTTGATTAACGATTTTTCTTGAGTTTTCTTGAAATGTTCCCTTTTTTAATTTTATTGAGTTTATAAGTTGACAGGTGAAAGAATTAATCCAGATGGACGGTTTTTCTTACAAAAACCTTTTGAGAATAATTTTTTTAACCTCGACAGGGAGAGGGTAATGAACAAAATAATGTTAGATTTCAATCTCAGAAGATACATAGTACCGACTTCGATTAAAGAAGACGAAGAGGTTGCGTTCTCTGAAAGTGCGCTGTCGATATATGAATAAGGTTATTTCCGCGTTTCAGGCAGTCGTCTTCACCGCGACTCGCCTTCCAGCTATTTCGACGGCGTCTACACGATGAACATGTCGTTGCCGTCGGCCAGAGCCATTTCGGACCTCGTTTTCAAAGGTTTCCTACACATCCTAATGCTCTGACTTCTATATGTTCATAACTCAGTTTCTTCATTTTTGTCTAACTATCTTCAAAATAATCTTTATTACAGGTCCCAGCGGCATTCCACACAGCCGAAATTGCACCACTGTCCTGGCATTCTTCAGTAAGTTTTCTTTTACGAAAAGAGATGGTCCGATGCGAAGAAAGTCGTTCGAATCGCGGCCGGGATGCTGGAAACATTGTTCCAAAATTTTGCTTGAGCAACTCCAGGCGACAGAAAGCCGATTAAAATGCAGTTTTTTTTTGCTTCAAATAAACTAATAACTTTTAACCGCTCCGCGTGTAGGCGACGAATAGAGCCATTCCAAATGCGTCTTTTGTGCTAAAAATCGAACCAACTTAAAATTGATCCGTCCCGCGGAACAGGGACGCGTGAAACCATTCCAAGTGCGGCTGCAAAGGCTGAAAAGCAATAAAAAAAGAGACCTATCGGGTATAAAATAATTCACGTTTCCTTGAGTCATTCTGAGTTCGATAAACGCTTCAAGCCGAAGATCCATTTGATTTTTCTTCCTTTCTAGGCCAAGTCGTCGCCTACGAGATCATGGCCTCGACCTCAGTGAGCTGTCCTCTGGAGATCATGAAAATCCCGGTACCTCGATGCGACGCCCATTTCGACCCTCTCTGTGAAGGCAAAACAGAGATTCCGTTCACCAGAGCCAAGTATGACAAGGAGACTGGCGGCGGCATCAACTCGCCAAGAGAACAGGTCCTTTTTTGGCCCTGGAGCAAAGTTTCCGTATTATTCCAATTTTTCTTTGAAATCTTCGGTTTTTTGAGCTTGAACTTCAAGTGAGCTCATTGGCAAACTCAAGTTTTTTTGACCGGAAGTTTTGTCAGCAATCTTTGTACTGAAATAGACTGTTGCGCAGTTATGAGGGAGTTTCCTCTAGAGAGAGTGTTTGAGCAAGTTCGTAGAGAATTCAAACCGCCAAGGAAAATGACCTCCCAGAGGAAAGAAGAATTCGGGACAATATCGACTTTTTCATTAATTTTTTTTTCATTTCCCATTTCCGACTTTCAGATCAACGAGAGGACGGCTTGGATCGACGGCTCCTTTGTCTATAGTACAAATGAAGCTTGGGTGATGTCGATGAGGTCCTACCACAACGGAAGGCTCCTCGAAGGACCCATCGACGGATATCCGCCCCTCAACAACCCTCACGTCCCCCTCAACAATCCACCACCACCTCAAATCCACCGACTCATGAGTCCCGATCGTCTTTTTAGTCAGTTTCCTCTGGGAACTCCTTGAAAAACTTGTTCATCTACAGTTCTGGGAGATTCGCGAGTCAACGAGAATCCCGGCCTTTTATCGTTCGGTTTGGTTCTTTTCCGATGGCACAACTACAACGCAGACAAGATCCAGGCGGCCCATCCGGATTGGGGCGACGAAGTCGTTTTTCAGGCTGCTCGACGATTCGTGATCGCAACCTTGCAGGTAACCCTCCAAGGGGTGGGAAAATGGTCTTTTCCCTGATTATTAGGGTTAAAGATGAGCTTTTCTTGCAATTATTCAGAATAAAATTACCTTTCTTGTGAGCAAAGCTTGACCATAGTAGAATAATCCCTCTAGGAGACTCAATCTTCAGGTAAATTTTGAATCTATAAATCGGCTTGAACAGACGAAAGCCCGTTGCCGAAAATTTACGATTTTTTTGTTCTGTGGCAAGATATCTTGGTTAGGTTTCCTGTAGAAAGTTTGAAGTATAATCGAAGATATTTTTCAAATTTTTAGTCCGAATAAAGTATAAATGAATTAAGTCAGGAAGAATTGAGATTGTAAAAGCCTGATATCATTCCTTCTTGGAGACTCTCCAAAAATCAAAAGTTCACTGAAAGAACCATTTTTTCGCAGAAAATCATCGCCTACGACTTCATCCCAGCGTTACTCAACGGAGTCGAGCTTGACCCCTACACCAAGTACATGCCCCATGTTCCTCCAGGTGCGACCGACCTGAGACGGCTTTCGCCATAGTCCGTATCGTTCTTCAGGAATCTCTCATGCTTTTGCCGCCGCCGCTTTCCGATTCCCCCATTCGATCGTGCCGCCGGCAATGTTCCTGAGGAAAAGGGGCCACGAATGCGAATTCCGGTCCGAAGTTGGAGGTTTTCCGGCGCTGAGGCTTTGTCAGAATTGGTTAGTCAATAAATATGCTAAGAAAAAAAAACTAGAAAAGTTGCCGTTAAAGGCCACGAAATATCTCAAAAAAGGAATCTCCAAAATAGTTCTGAAATTTCGAGGTATATCTGGAAAAATTCAATTCCTTTTATACAATAATCTCTATCCTTCTCAAAGTTCTCGTTTTTTTCCGAGCTGTCAGAAATGGCCAGAAAAAAAAAGTTTCAGAAAAAGAAACAATTTAAAGATCTTACTAACTCTGATAGAGAAGTTGGCCCCGTTTTTCACCTTTTTCTGAGTTTATTTCCTTTTTCGAAAAGTATCCTTTCTTCGAAGAGGTAAAGAGCTTTTCGTGGCTATTTTTATTCATAAACCGATTCTGGGGATATTTTTTAATATTTTCCTGTTAATCAAGGTTATTTTTGAAGTTTCTCTGACTAAGTTGCTTGGAGCAATAGTTTTGGCATTGTTATTTTAAAAAGGATTTCTTGACAAATAGGACTTCAGGTGGAACGCCCAAGACATTGTCCGAGAATACTCGGTGGACGAAATAATTCTCGGGATGGCCAGTCAATTGACGGAAGCCGACGATAATATCGTCGTCGAAGACCTTCGAGACTACATTTTCGGCCCCATGCATTTTACTCGTCTTGATGTCGTGTCCTCATCCATCATGAGAGGTTCCTAGATCCCAAAAGTTGCCTTGGAGCGCGTTTCCCTCACTTCAGGACGTGACAACGGCCTCCCGCCCTACAATGTTCTGAGACGGTCCTTTGGCCTGCCGCCAAAGGACTGGAAGGACATTAATCCCGAGTTTTACGTCAAGAACTCGGAAAAGATGGAGAAGCTCAAGGAATTATATGGAGGAGACATTTCTACCTTGGATTCATACGTCGGAGGGTTGGTTTAATGAAAAATCCTTTTTTTTTTCGAATCATTTGCCTTTTGGCGTCGTCAATTACTCCATTTATGACATAATCAAATTCTAACTCAAAAAATGAATAAATTTTACACGTTGTTCGCCAAGATTGTGAGATACAAAAAGCTTGTCACGAAGATTTTTTTCTTGTCTGCGCTCTCTCATTCTTTCACGTCAATAACCCTGTCCGTGAGAGAATGGAGAGCGCATACGAGTCAGACGGTTTCCTGAATGAATTATCAGGTTTTGAAATTTTCAGAATGCTGGAAGGTGGCGACAGTGGACCGGGAGAACTGTTCACCGTCATTATTAAGGATCAATTTCAGAGGATTCGCGATGCTGACAGGTAATTATTGGAATGAATTTCTTCTTTTTCTGAACAAAATTCCAAACTCTCGATCTCAATTCCAAAAAAGCTCCTGAAAAAAAAATTTCAAAGCATGGTATACTCCGTTCCGTGACTTGGAAGCTTATCTGCGTCTTTCTTTTACCTAGAATAATTTTTTTTTCTTGATGATTCTAGTTTCATTTTGCTTTGATGTGCTGCATATTTCTTTGCTTTATCTGCTTCATTGACTTTTCGACCTCTGAAAAATCGATATTTCCTCAGATTCTGGTACGAAAATAAGCTCAACGGGCTGTTCACACCGGAAGATTTGGCTCAAATCCAAGCCACGACGCTGCACGACATCATCAAGGCCACCACGGACATTTCCGAAAATATGCTCCAGAAAAATGTCAGTTTTTTTTCCTAATTCAGAAAATTAGATTTGAAAACGATGATTTTTTTTATTTATTTCTTTATTGTCAGTTCAAAAAAGGCTTCATTTTACAGAAACTTTAGTGATTTGAACAAAAGGATGATTTTTTTCGGAATCTTTTTGATCCAACTTCTTTTCAAATCCCTTAATATCTTCATTCAACTTTTAAGCTTGACACGGAAATCAATCAAAAAGCTTTAAAAAATTCCGAAATTTTAATTTGAAAGATAATCTTGACAGGTTTATTGCTCATATTAGCTCACGATCGTAAATTTTGAGGTATTCTTCTGGAAAGACGGCGATCCATGTCCACAACCCTTCCAAGTCAATAATACGGGTCAGTTTTCTGAGTATAAGTTGATGTATTGCAGCTGCGGTTAAAAGACCCCGGAATCTTTTTTCGCTTAGTTATTTTGTTCTGACGCCGGAAAACATTAAGAAACTCCCTAAGACAACTTTGCTCTATTGCATCTTGAAAGAGTTGTTCAGAAATAAACTTTTCAGGCCTTGAAAAATGCGTCCCATTCATGCGATTCGATCATTTCACAGGCAATGAAGTGACCTACATTTTTACCTTGATTGGGCTCGCTTGTGTGCCGATAGGTTCGATTTTGATCATACAGAAAATAAAATAAATGTTTGGAGTATGCTTCGGAATCGGCCATTTGCTGGTGAAGAAACGGATCACGATGGGCTGGAACGAGGCTTTCGACGATTTGTCCGTGAGTGCTTCGGTTGACGACAAGGAGAGTCGCTCGTGCTATTCGGTTAATGGTTGGTTTTTTTCTCTTGATTCAAATATAAAAAAATAGGAGCTTCACAGCCAAGAGATTTGCAGAAGAAAAATTCGAATTGAAATTTTGAAAATGACAATTTTTTTCATAAGGAAAAAAAGTTGATTATAGTGAATTTGATGGTATTCGAAAAAAATAAAAAAATCAAGAAATCAAATTCAATTGAATTAAGCCGCCTTCGTTCGAAAAAAATCCAACAATAGCATTCTTCTTTTTTTGTTCGCGTAAAGCTGTTCTGGGCTTTTTGTGATTGTAGGTGCCCTTTAAGAAAATATTTTTGCTTCCAAATAAATATAACATCCCTATTATCGACTTGAAAAAAAGATTGATTCGAGACTTAGTCATTCCTGAATCAACGGAAAGCAATAGAAGAAAAAAAAGAATGTAAATGTTTGAATTGTTCCTGAAAAAATAAAATTTTTGATCCCACTCTCAAGATTCTCGTTTTCAGCTTTCGAGTGGCTTCAAGAAGAGAACGTCCGACAGGTGATAGTGGAAGTCGATAAAGGGCAATTGACGGTTAGAAAGCCGCGAGGTCGAGTCCTCAGAAAGCTCGTCTTCGCCACGGACGCCCAAATCCAGCTGATCCATTCGGAACCTCGGGCTTCCACTATGCACGGCCCTTATGTCCTGATCACCCTCCCGAAGACTCACGACCTCGTGATCAGACTGCCTTCCGATAAGCACCTTGGAGAGTTTCTCATGGCCCTCAGTGAAGCCGTCAGACCACTCGGAGGTCGAGTCAATGCCGCTCCTGAAAGGAACGACCTTCTGTTGGACCGCGCCGAGACCAAGGAGCGACGTCAGGATCGTCTCGACCACTTCTTCCGCGAGGCCTACGCTCGTACTTTCGATGAGCATGAACTCTGCGATAGCGCGGTGCCTGTCAGTGCCGACGACAGCGACACCGTCCTCAGCGAGACGATCACAAGGTCCGTTTCGGGAACAATTGTTGGAGATGGTTGGGAGGGAAAATGGGGCAGCCGCATGATAAGGCTGTTTTTTCTCTCTCTTGAATCATGGAATAATTGAAGAGTTTCGGTTTGCGAAAATGTCGTTGAGCAAACCGACGCTTCTCCATGTAGGAACAGCACGGCGCCCAGCTTTTCCGGGGCGGGCGTCTGGTTTAATTTCTTGCAAAAGCGGAAGGTAAATCCCTGCGATTGGGATGTAGAAATGAGATAAGTATAGAGTATGCCTCAAAAAAGTGGAGATAGGCACGTTTTCTTTGATTACAGACACGAGCTGGCCCAGGCGATGGGAATGAAAGAGTCGGATATGTTCGTCCAGCGAATGTTCGCCGTCACAGCCAAACAACGCAGCGACTGCATGTCCTTCGCGGAATTCCTCACCGTTCTGAAGCGTTTTACCAATGGTCTCCAAGGACTTCCCTCAAAAACCTCAACTTTTTCTCTTCTCAGCCTCGGCCCAAGAAAAGTACCGACTGTTGTTCCAAATGTGCGACATCGAAGGCACTGGAAGGGTCCGAAGAGTCGAATTCGCCGATCTGATCCGATCCCTGAGTAACGTCGCTGGCGTGAAGCTTGACGAACATTCCCACTCGAATTTGGTCGATTCGGTCCTTCATCGACATGGTAAAACATTTTCACACAAATAAAATGGTTAAACGCTTTTAAAACTTAAAAAAACCATATTTTTGAATCCTTTTTGAAAGGGAAAACTGGTTGAAAGGGCTTTCTGATGTGCTATTTCGTGGGACAGCAAAGAAATTTTGGTTTTTGAATGATGAAATTCAGTGTCGCGACTCGAAAAAAGTTAAAGAAATAATCGAAAAATCAAAGTCATCCTGCAGGCGTTTGCCGTGAGCTGGAGTACATGAACTACGAGGATTTCGAGACGATTTTTGGCGACGTTGACCATAAAAGACCTGTCGGCGTGGATTTCCGTGGAGCTAAGATGCGCGTCAACTTGAAGGAGTTCGTTTTAGCGAAAGAAATATATGAAGACTCAATTTTCTCTACCTGTCGCTATTTTGGAAGAATTCAGAATTCCTTGAGATTCTGAGTTTGATATTACTACCCTAAGCTCTATAGGACAAGTTGGACCTGAAAATGGGTCGTTTGAAAAACAAGTGTGTTTAGTTGAAGCTACCCTATTAGATAACACGGAGCGTAGCAGTCGCGTTGCGGTTTTCCCATTTACGAAAATATTTGATCCTCGACTCACCGTGTATTTGCGCCCGACCTCGAGCGATTTACTCAAGTAGTTTCTGGTCGGACGCGCTAAAACGGAAAGTGCTTTTTGAGATAACCGCTTCGCGACCGCGAGGCGTTCAATAATTCGTCGTGAATTCTTCGAAAACATTGCATTTTGTTTTCCAGAACAGCCTCGCTGAGCTCTTTTGCCGTGCCGAGCAGTCAGCTCGTTGCCATACAGAAGTGCATCCCGAAAAATATTTTTTCGCGTTGGGCAGCCTTTCTGGAGACCTACCGACAGCACACGGTCATCGTCTTCATCTTCGTCGCCATCAATATTCTCTACTTTTTGGAGCGCTTTTGGCGTGAGTTTTGGCTCGCTACAGAAATGTCGCTTTTTTCTGACAACTGTTCTTGTAGAACTAGTAGGGGATGTTGAACTTTTGCTCATTTTTTTTTGGTACATTATTGCGATTAGCTGATAATTGTTTTTCTTACCGAATACCCTCCCCCAGAATACCTACCGCAGAGTTTCGGACCACTTTCACTTCAAAAAAATCCCTCGCAAGATCACTCCTTGAAGGAAATTTCATTCTTCCGTTGAGAATTTCTTTTAAACCTGCCAGATTGCTCTTTTATGTACCACATTAAGATCATGAAAACTCCTTATTTTTCGAGAAATGAGGTTTCAAAGCCCCAAAATTGCCTACTTTATCGGATTTTCTTGGAATTTGAGGTGTTCTGCCTCAAAAACTAAAAAGTTATGCAGGTTTAGGCTTCCAGAATCTTCTTCTGATATTTCGAGAAATGCTCTGGATCTTTTTTAAGCGAACTTTCAATCAAAAAGTTAAATAACCTTCCTTGTTTGTGAGATAATTAGGAAAAAAAAATTGTTTTTCTGCGTGTTCGAAATTTCGAGCAAGCTTTTTTGGATGAAAACTATGAAAAAATCCTAACTTCAGACTACCGTTACATGACGGAGCACAGAGACCTGCGGAGGGTCATGGGAGCTGGAATCGCCATAACTCGAGGAGCTGCCGGAGCTCTCTCCTTCTGCATGGCGCTGATTCTGCTGACCGTTTGCCGCAACCTGATCACGATCGCTAGGGAAACCCCATTGGGAGAGTACATTCCCTTCGACTCGGCCATCACCTTCCACAAGGTTCGATTCGATTCAAAAGAGAATTAAAAATTCCAGATTATTTTTTTCAAATTCTCGAGCCTACTGAGTTGCCCGCTTTAAAATCAACCTTGGATCTGAATTTTTTTTAAAAGCATAAACTCAAAATTTTTTGGCTCGAAGTTTGATTTTTTTTTTTCGGTTTATGTAAAATATTTTTGACATGTGAAGAAGGTCATTTCACTTTGCAATTTGGAATTGTTTGCAAATCCGCTCAAACAATCCCTGAATTTATATTTACGGAAAACCTTCGCAAACTTCTAGTTTTGGAGTCATGCTTTTTCAAAGATGCCAATTTTCAAACTTCAAAAATGAATATCTCCGAAAAAGTTTCAAACTGCAGAGTTAAATTACTTTTAGCGTAAGCTCTTTTTCTTCTTCTTTGTACAAAAAGTTCTTTTCTTCTAGATCGTCGCTGTGTTCGCCGCCGTTTGGGCCTCAATCCACACAATCGGCCATTGCGTCAACTTCTACCACGTCGCAACCCAAAGCCAAGAAGGCCTGCAATGTCTCTTCCAAGAAGCCGTTTTTGGGTAAATCTTTCCTTTGTCTGATTTTAGGCTGAAAACGGTATAAATCTATAAGAAACAAAGTTTCAAAAAGTTTCACAATCAAAACATCTTTCGGTTCATTTTTGGCTTTTCATGTTCATTTTAAACTCGAAGTGATTCCTAGAGTGTTCGCATTTTTTTTTGGCTTTTCTACCATCCCAAAATCGAAAATAATCGGATCTGAAGTGGCAACTTGAGTAGGCTGCTCCGAAATTGCCCAAAATCAGTCAATGTTAACCTTCAAAAGACTGAAGAGACCGCTTAAATTTTTTAGATTACATCAAAATTAAAACCTTCTTTCATTTGTCCACAGAAGGGTTTCAGAATGTGAGTTTTCGAATATTTAGATTTTAACTTCTAGAAAAACTGTCGTGAATTTCGACTTATCTTATTCCAATCTTCAGATCCAACTTCCTGCCATCCATCTCCTACTGGTTCTACGGAACCATCACCGGCCTCACCGGCATCGCTTTGGTCTGCGTCATGTCGATCATCTACGTTTTCGCCTTGCCCTGTTTCATGCGACGTGCCTACCACGCCTTCAGATTCACCCATCTTCTGAACATCGCCTTCTACGCCATCACCCTGCTTCATGGCCTTCCGAAGCTCCTTGATGTCAGTTTCTTTGAGTTTCTAGTATAAAATTGAGAGTTAGGGGCTGAAAGTTTGAGGGTTGATAAGTTACGTTGTTTCAAAGAAATGACGTCATCTGAACCGAACTCTAGAGCTCATGACGTCATATTCGTGAAAAAAAATGCTAAAGCTCTCAAGTCAAGAGGAACGAATGGAAAAACTTTGAAAAAGGGACGTCACCTTGAAACTTGAAACTTTGAAACTTTATTCAGTCTTCAGAGAAGGTACTCTGCTGAATCATGGAATAATTGAAGAGTTGTTCGTCGGTTTGCGAAACTGTCGTTGATCAAACGTAGACGGCGCGTAGAGCATCTCGTCTTTCTTGTGATAGTAGTAGACGACTTTCGAGCGTTTCCGACGATCACTGCTTCTCCATGTAGGAACGGTACGGCGCCCAGCTTGTCCAGGGCTGACGGGCGTCGGAATAAATCTCAGACGAGAGCGGAAATGAAGACCGACCACTCGGGTGGTAGAAATGAGATAATGACGTCACCTGGACCAATATATTGAGCTTATGACGTAATTTTGAATACATAAGGTATAATTATAGAATTAGTATGAATTATTATTACCAAAAAATATTACGCTTCAAGAGTAACCAAAAATTGGTGATGAATGGAAAAAAATATCTGGAAGCATTTTCGAATTTTCAACGAATATGACTTCTTCAATTATCCATCCAAAACGTGTATAACTTTGATCTTTGCAGTCCCCCAAATTCTGGTACTTCGTGATCGGACCAATAATCTGCTTCATCATCGATCGCATCATCGGAATGCGTCAAGAATACAAACAGCTTCAAGTCCTCAACGCGGCTTTGCTCCCATCAGGTTTGCAGGATCCGAACCTTGGCCATGAGATCGCCAAGCAGACGCCCTAGCCACTAGACCACACAGAGCCACATTTCAGACATCATCTACCTGCAATTCAAGCGGCCGGCCTCGTTCAAGTTCCGTTCGGGACAGTGGGTCCGCGTCTCGACGCCCGCCTTTTCCTGCAGCTTCAACGAATCACACGCCTTTTCTCTCGCCTCGGCGCCTCAGGCTCCGACGCTGGAGCTGTACATCAAGGTCTGCTTTAGATCTCTTCATGAGTTTAAAAAGTTAAAATGAACGGTTTCATGTTTTTCAAATATTTCCTAACGTTTGCTTGCTCAATTTTTCATATTTCATACCATCTCTTCTATGAAAACCAAGAAGAAAAAAGAGTAATAAAATTCAGTCAAAAATTCGTAAAGCTTGAAAAAAGTTTTTTTTTTGCGTACAGCGAGCGCACTTTTAATATATTTTTCGGCTCACCAAGCTCAAAATTGAGAAAAATAACTTCGAGGTGACCTTTTTGCTTTAATTTTTTGATCGATAGTTAGCTGCAGACCTTGTCCTTTTGATCATATTTACTTCGGATAGGAAAACATTGACTATTTTTCAGGCTGTCGGACCTTGGACCTGGAAGCTGCGGAGCGAGATCATGCGAGCTCAGGCCAATCAGTCGCCTTATCCCTTGATCCACTTGAATGGTCCCTACGGCGACGGCAATCAGGAATGGGCAAACTATGAAGTCGCGATTCTGGTTGGCGGCGGCATTGGAGTCACTCCGTACGCCTCGACTCTGAGCGACCTCGTCCTTCAGACCACATCCGGACGGTACAACACGGTCCGGTGCAAGAAGGTTCGTCGACAAAATGTGACGTCAGAGTTGCATATCTTTGATGACGTCATGAGATATTATGACGCCATCTTTTGAAGGAAGTCCTGAAGAGAGCTTAATAATTGGAAGTTTTGATGACAAAAGTCTGAACTTTAAAAATTTCCGTCGTTTTTAAGAAAGTTGGTTAATGTGACGTCAAGACGGATGAAAAGTCATTGAAGATTTCCATGACGTCAGGATTTAAATATATGACGTCATATTGAAGTTCAGCCGAAGACCTTGGACGGAGTGAGCAACAGTCTTTTGAAAACCAGTTGATATTTTTTAAAGTCTTTTTTTTTAGATTTTCGGATGCCCTGAAGATTGAAAAAGTTATGATGAGATCGAAGACGTAGTCAATTTCTAAACTACCTCCAATGACGTCACTGGATCATATGGAGTTTTCAGGTCTATTTCCTGTGGGTTTGCCCGACGCATAAAAACTACGAGTGGTTCGTCGACGTACTGAAGAACGTGGAGGAGCACGACGAGCAGAACGTCCTTGAGACGCACATCTTCGTCACGCAGTTCTTCCACAAGTTTGACCTGAGGACGACGATGCTGGTCAGTTTGAGAAAAATGAAGGGAATTTGGTAACGGGAACCGTGTTCTGAGCGTTTCCAGCAACCACTTTAACGGCTTCGCTACTTTTAACTGTTTACTTGGAATGCTCGGAGAAGTCCGGGGCTCGACCCGTTTCCTTTACTGAAGAAAAACTCGGTGCTCCCCCATCAGAGTTATTCGAGATGTGCTTTTTTGAAAACGAGACGACACAAGATTTCCAAAATGTTTTCGAGACGAGACACGTTTTTTTCTTTTTATAGAGTTATTTCTCAAGTTTTTTTCTTTTGACAATCCTGCAAGCTACGGTATACTAATTGTTAGAAAATGACTATTTCAAGTTTCAAAATTGGCTTATAAAAATATATATAAAATACAGCTTGAATTATGGGTTTCGTCGAGTTCCCTCATCCTGGTCAGGGGCTCAACGGGTGTCCCCGTACTAAATCCGTGTTTTTCGAGGCTATTTCAGTATCAGCTGTGCTGAAACGCGCGCAAAAAGGTAGAGGTTACCCAGCTGTGTATATTTCAAAAATCTGACTAGTGAGACCCAAATAGGCTAAAACTGCGCCTCAGCGGAGGTGAAAAAAAAAACGCTAAAGTTTTGAACACGTATTTGATACGGGCTTACATCTGCCTCGTGTTAGCACGGCTGGTTAACCCTCATCAGCATGAGAGTCGCATCTTCAAATTTTTTTTTGCTTGAAGTTCTAACCGGAAATTCAGGGAGATTGTCGTGAACCGACTATGCTTTACAAGTTCAAAAATAATTCTCGAAGTTAAACTTCTGTTTCAGTACATTTGCGAGAAGCACTTCCGCGGCGAGCACTCTGGGGTCTCGATGTTCACCGGCCTCCGAGCGCAGAATCATTTTGGTCGGCCCAACTTTGAGGCATTCTTCCGGTTCATCCAAAGCCGACATAGAGAGGTGGGTTTTGAAGAAGTCAAAGTCTAGATTTCTCACTTTTTAAAAGTCATGAAGCTCTATTTAGTTTTTCTGTTCATTTTCTTTTTGATCTTTAGAGAGCTTTAAACGTTTCAGAACTTGCGAAAAATCGATCCGAAAATCTCCCGAAACTTCTTTTTTTTCAGCAAGAAGAAATCGGCGTGTTCAGCTGCGGTCCATCGGCCCTCAATGAGCAAATCAGCGAGGGTTGTTCCAAGGCGAACCGCGTCAGGAACGCCCCGTCCTTCTGCCATCGCTTCGAGACCTTTTAAGCCTCGTGACGTCATTCGTTTTTTCTGTTTCCCACGGGTTACATCCCCTTCTAATCACTTTTTGTTGCGAAATGTATACAGTACTCATTAATTTTTTGCTGGGTGCCATCATATTTATTAACTAGTGACGTCATTAAAGAAACTTTTGAAATAACCAAATTTCCATGACTTCCTTTCTAGTTTTTCGATTACTTCGTTTGCGAAATCATTCATTTTCGGTGGAATTTTCCAATGACGTCGCCTTTTTCGCATCTGATGACGCTGCCAGCTTGAAGTATGGTGTCACCCGCTCTTCTGACGTCATAATTTAATCAGTATTGCTCATGTTACAGTAGCCATATTGTTCCAGGCTCGTTGTGTAGTATATGTATTTGACGTAATTTCTGTATGATAATTTCTTGTTTTGTTTTTATAAAATGATGCCTTTTTTTTCTCTTATTGCTCATCTAATATTATGACGTCATATCTGAACTTTCATTTTCGTTCACTTTTTTTCCATTCGAATTACGAGTCTCAGGTATTAATAATCATTTTTTGTTTCAATCTGACAATTTTCAGAAAAAGGTGTAATTATTGCTTTTCGACAGTCATTTCGATAGTTGCCATGAAATTTCTCAAATTTTCTCGCTTCTAAATGAGCTTAAAAAGTACTTTTCAAAGATTTTTATCATTAAAAAGTTTTAGGATGGAAATCTTCTACTCACTGCTGTTCCGATAAGCTTTTATCTGTTCTTGATTTTTCTTTTTCTTTTTTAGTTCGAATGATAATTTGCGTTCTTCTACTGCCTTTCTGGTCGTCCTATGTAGTTTCTAATTTCATTCTGAATTTATGGGTTTACAATAGAGTCTGCAAAAATGATCTTGATCCAATCTTTTGGTCAACATTTTCATAACATGTCACCTAAAGTATGAAATGTTAACATTTTGGCTGTATGAAAAGTTGAAATGTCTAAAAATGTGACCTATCGTTTTGTTTGACAGATCAACATGTCATCTGTAATGAGAGATCATTTGAAATGAAATGTCAAATTTTGATCTTTCGAAGTGTCATTATAACTCCGATGTTCAAAACTTTGACTATGAAAAGATTTTTATCTTTTAATATTAGGAAGAAATGCTGCCAAGGATGGATGAATCATTCAAGAATGCTTAGCAGCGCTGCTTTCCTTTGGACAGGTGCGAGGGCCGGCTCGTCAACCTCTCGGCCCCCGGGCATTTCTCAAGCCCGGCTCGGCCCGGCCCTAGCGAACCTCAAGCAAAAATGGCTGGCCTGGCCCAAAACTCAAAACTCTCTTCAAGACGAATTTTTAGTTTTTTTTTTAACGAGAAAAGTGGTATTTTTGCTTATTTTTTTTCAAAGAGTTATTAGAAACTATTATTCAACAAGTGAAAATAAATTTTCCGTGAAATTTATTCAAAATGAAATTTGAAATTCCCTTCGAAGCCCGGGCCAGACCGGCCCGGGCCGCCCGGCCTGACGCACAAGCCTGCCTTTGGAATATATTTTTTTATGAGACGTTTAGAATTTTCATGGAATTTATATTAGTTATTTTTTTACAATTATTTATCTCTCGATGTTTAATGGCGAAGTGAAAAAGTTAATTTCATTCACAAAAATTCATTACTTGTTTTTTGATATACGTCCCAGACGATAGATACTCTTACGTTTTCTGTTTGACAGACTTGAAATTCAAGTTTCAATTTTATTTCACGAAATAGTTTTGAACGAGTAATGCGTCAAGTTTGAAATCGCCAAAATCCCTTTGAACACGGTATAACAGCGCCTTTCCATTGAAGATCTTAAAATCTGTTGAATATCGAAAAACTGACACGACATTGCGGAGTTTATAGAAAATGGGAAAAAAAAAATGGAAATACAGCTTCCCAGATAGATCAAAGTCTCTTCAGAATAAAAAAAACGATTCCAGTAGGTTCTCCCTTCTCATAGTGCCGTTGATCCTCGCCAGCTATTGTTTTCCGAACAAATCGCGCCTTTCTTTCGAGTCGAAAAGAAACGCGAAGGTTCCCATGCCATTTTGGAGAATCTGCGCTTCTCAACATTTCGCCGGCGCGAAAAACCGTCGCTGACGACCCTAAGTCTTTTTCCACCTCTTCTCGTCGCAACATTTGCCGATGTATGTTTGTGCCGGAACGCAGCCGCACCGAGTCTTGTCGCCTTTTAGCCATTCGCCGAAAAAGTTTATTTTTTCTTGTCTTTTTCACGGACGGTCTCGTCATCTTCATCCTTGCGCTACAGCTCGCTATTTTATAGTCCGCCGTGGTATTTTCGAGCAAAATCCAAAAATTTCTCGAGAAGAAGCGCCGTATAAACGGTTTTTCGCCTCGAGACATCCATGAATCATTTTCTCCTTGGAAATCCTCCGGTTTTTTGTTTCAAAACATTATCGGTTTTAATGCCATAAAAACACTAAAGTAGACACTAACACGATGTCTTGACTTCTTGCCCTTTCCAACTGTACAATCCTTATCAGTCACAAAAATAATTTGAAAGCTTTTCAAGCGGGTTGAAAAGTGGTTTGAGAGCTTCGAATTGCCTTGCCAGCCTATAATAACGATTGGGTAAACAAGGGCGATTTCAAGTGACTTCTAAAGTGTTTTGAGCCTTCTCGGCTTCTTGAGCGCATCTAACTTTTACGCAACTTCCAACTATTCGGTCGATATCAATCTAAAAAGCCCTCAAGAGCCTTTCCAAGTGTCCATTGAAGGCGTTCAACCCTTTCTAGCTCTTGAATCTACAGTCAAAGAGAAGTTGCCAAACCACTGAAGGACCATTCGAAGTGTCCCCTGAAGAGATGTGAGCGGAGCCCTGCGCTCATAGCACGGCGCTCATCAGCGTGAGAGTTGCGTAAGGAGTCCGTGAAAGGAACGAATGTCCGAGGGGCAGAAAAGCGGCGATCAATCGATTCTTGTGTGCCGCTTGATGAGGGCACAGACGACAACGGAAGAAGACGAAGAAAAAAAAAGATGCGTGAAGGCGGAGTTCCGCCGGCGAGCAGACTTGTCACAAAAGGCTTGCTGCCGATTTCGCCCGCATCTGTCCCCTGACCGTTTTCTTTCGCCTTTTCAACACAGCTCGCTCGCTTTTCTGCCATGCGCCTCGTTTCTTATTTCTTGAAAACCGTATTCCAGGACTTCTTGAACACCGTATTATACTGTATATATTACTGTAGAGGCAGAACTCTTGTTCGTGCAATAGTTCTAGAAAGCCTTGCGTTTGATGAGCTTCCGTACAAAGATTTGGGAATGCTTCGGCGCTGTTTCGATAATTCATCTCTCTTGATAGTTACAGTAAGATACAGTATCTACAGTATCTAAAAGTACCGTTATTCTGGTTGAATTTAAGAAATGAAATTTAATACAGTAGAGCTATAAAAACGGCTGCAGGAATTTGAATCGGTCGGGCTTTTTTTCTATACTTCATACCTTGTTCCTTTGTTTTGTTACGATAGAATACAGTAGCTAAAAACGACTGAAACCACATTCAAGTTAAAAAAAAAAGTCAGAATTTCGAACATTAAGCTGCAAAAATATTAAGTAACTTCGAAAAAGTGCAGCGCTTCTGGCTAAAATCTCATTTTTTTTTTTTGACTATGATAGGAAACTGTAGCTTGAAACTACTGTGATCGTATAAAAGCTGATAAAGTCAAAATCTTGAAAACAGCTTCAAAAAATTTGCAGCATTCTTGCAGCATTTTCTCTTTTTCTTGATAAATCTCTTTTTTTTTCTCTGTAGCTCAAAATGACTAATGTTATCTGTAAAACGCAATAAAGTTCGAGAAAGGCTTTCAGAAGCATTAGACAAATCTGATCAGTCGAAAATATCATGTCTGCGGTGACTCATTGTTTACGTTATGTAGCATTTTCGGTGAGAAAATCGGGGGGAAAAATGAATTTTCTGCTGTCATTTCTGTCTGAATCTTTTACAAGCTCATTAATTCTTTTTCATACTATGCCTTTCTACCGCTTGAACCTCAATTCAATGAGACAAGGTCCTATCCAGATATGAGCCGACTGGCTCTAGTGATTTATCTGTGCCAGAGTTTGACCTGAAGCCGTGGTTTCCCCCTACCAACATTTCCGGAGCCCCTTGGTTGCCTCAGGGGTCGAACTTGTGACCCTGTGGACCATAAACAAGAACACAACCTGTTGCGTTACGGCGCTCCTATTACGATCGTTGATTCTTGAGATTAACTTTGAGCAGAAGTTTCAAGTTTTGCAGATTTGCAGGCGACTAAGAATGGATCGCGCTTCTGGAGCTCGAAGTCGCGAAGAAGTAAGATTTTGAATTTGAAAAAAAATGTTAGTGAAAATGTTTTTCAAAACTTAAAAGCCCTCACAATCTGGGGCTATAGGCCAAATAAAGGTTAAAAAAAGTTTAAAACAGCTTAAAAATAATTCAAATCATTTTCAGAATCGTGAACGCGCGCTCGAAGTCGTCAACGAAGTGAGCTTTTTCTTCAAAATCGAAAAAAAAAATCGGTTCCATTCGGCTCTATAGCTTACACAAAACGTTAGGGGTGCGAAAACTTGATAATTTTCCTAACGTAGTAAAAAAAGTTCATAACAAACCTGAAACAAGTTTCTGAGATCATAGAAACCTCTATCTTGGCCTGAGAAACATGAAAAAACCCTAAAAGCTCAGGAATGATATCTCAAGCGGTAAGGAATCCAAAATTATCTTCTTAACATTTAAACTTCCATTTCAATATAGTCATCAGAAAAAAATTTTTAAAAAAATCAACTGGTTGTCAAGAAAAATAATAAGAATAGGAAGGAAAAAGATCAACAGCGGCCTGGAGAAAAGTTAGAGAAGCTGGAAAACTCTCGTTGTCTGGCGTCTTTCCAGGACGAAGCTGATCTTTTTTTTTGATTTTAGAAATTCCTTTTAGGAAATGTATGAGCGATGCTAGGACTTGTGTGAATTTATAGAACCGATAAATCCAGGAATCGTCTTATTGATCACTAAAATCAGCTAGCTTGATCCAAATCTGGGCGGTTCGGTTCTACAAAAAAGTCATGGTTTTAACGTTTCAAGGGGTTGCAATTTTGTTTTTAAAAGGCCGAGAATGATCAATCCTGCATTTAGACATACCAAACTGTATTATAAAGAAATCTTGAGGAACTTGAAACTGATGAACCCGATAGCGATAGCAACAGCACGGTCAGCGCTATAAGCACTGTGAACCTGTCGAGCTCCACGGACGACTATGATTCCAGTGAATCAGAAGCTGTGTCTGACGCCGACGCGAACGGCCCCGCACAGCCGGCTCCGGTCAACCCGACAGAAGCGGATGACGAACTGTGGCGCCCTCTGCTATTCCAATTGCCGGTACGCCATTTGGAAGTAAAGGGTAACGAGTCTGTGATAATCCACCTCACAGGTGTAGCATAAGTCATATTCATTTTTGAATGCAAATTTCGCTTTCTAGTCAAATTATAGTTTAGAAAATATCGAAAAATTGTTTTTGAAAAGAAATGACGAAAAAGATGACTTGCGCTTAGCCTCGAGTTTCCGGCAAAAAGCCGCGTCGCGAACTTAACGCGGTTTCTGCCAATCTACTCATCCCGCCGTTCCAGTCGGGAAAGATCGGCTATATCGAACTCGACTATGTCTGAAAACAAATGTAGAGCTCAAAATGCTAAGCTCACGCGGAGAACAGCTAACTCGAAAGTTTGAAAAAATGATCAAAAAAAAGGAATGCCAACATCGAGCAAGGCTTTGTTTCCTGAAATCAAAACCGAAAACTAGTCGTAATTTCATCGTCCTGACTTTCTGCCCGAGTCTCATAACTGGAAATAACTAAAAATCACAGAAAACAGTCGCGGTTGCACTTCATTTGGCGATAAAAAAAATAGTTCCACGTCTAATCCTTGACTTATAGCTGCGCCTTACCTTGATCGGGTTTTTTCTCAATAGGAAAAATGGCAAAGCGCGTGAACAGTTTTAGGTCGGACGCATAAAGGGGCAAGTGCTTTTCGTTGTGATAGCGACGCACGTAGCCATGCCGGGAGCCTTCAAAAAGTCGTAAAAGCTGGAGTGAATCTTCGAAACTATAAAATTTACTTGTTCCTAGCGGTATCAAGAGTTTAAACTAGAGACAATATAGTTTTCCCAAACCCATTGTCAATATTTTTGGTCACTATAGTTTCTGATAAAATTGGAGAATAAGATCGCAATGAGCTGAAATGAACCTTCCAGAACGATTTCAGCCCTGGAAAACGTTTTCAAACCCTCAATTCATTCTTAGAACCATTTCAAAAAAGACAAAGTTCCAGGCGGCGCCTCCCATGCCAAGATATGGATTTGGTGAATTTGAACCGCTTTATCAATACGAAATGAATCTGCACCGTTATTATTATTTTCAAATGGAACAGGTGTGTCGAAACGAAAAAATGTTCTCGAAACTACATTCTTTTTCCAATGACTACTTCAAAGGGTCATAGCCAGGCTTGTGCGAGGGACGGCCCGTCAACCTATTGGGCCCCTTTTTTCGGAGCCCGACAGGGCCCGACTTTTAAAAAAATAAGCTTGGCCTAAAGCACTTTTCACCAAGACAAATACCATACTTTTTAACGACAGAAATCGAGTTGCTGATTCTTTTTCTTTCAAAATTCAAAAAAAAAAATGAACTTCAAAAATGTATTCGGAGCCCGTCGTCCAGTCTGACGCACAAGTCTGGTCATAGCTCATTTCCGAAAGCAACTTTTTGGCTGGCTCAAGTTCTATAAGAGTATTTGGACCTCTGACTATGATAATTTAAGCCAAAAAGATTCCCTGATCTCCTCCTTTCTCAACTATCAAAAAAATGAAATCCGTTTCTGGAAAACCTGATAATTTATAAAATTGCAGCAACACCTCATGAATGCACAATATGAGCTTCAGCGTGCGACATTGAACTACTGGGTAAGATTTTTTCAGCGAAAATAAGATCGAGAAGCGACTTATTGAGAGTTCGAGCAGTTCCCTCGAATGATATAGCTAATTTTATTGAACTAAAAAAAACGGATTTTCCTATCAAATGAAGTTATCCGAAACGGTTTTCTAGCGGGAAGGTCATTTTACCTCGAAGATTTTTTTTTTGACGTCCTGAAAGGGTTGATCTGCAAAACTTCTTAGAAACGACACCTAAAAGTTTGAAACCCGATTGTAACGGGTTATGATCTTTTTTATTTGAAATGGAGGCGATCTTTCTCGGAAACTAGGAAAATTGAGGTAGTGTTTTCAAAATCTTGAAAAAAAATCCTGGCCAGTTTCCATAAATAAAATCAGATCGCAAAATGAACCTTTCTTTGTGAGAACATAAAACCTGGCCAATTCTATTATTTTTTTTTGGGTAAACATCAAAAAAAAGTGTCAGAATTTTTTTTTCAAAGTGGTTTCCGAACTAGGAGAAAGAAATGATTTCATTTTTTCTGAGACTCATTCTTTACAACTCAAGTTTTTTTAGAACATGCTCCACCATCTCCCTGCTTGTCAATGTGTGTTATGCAGACTGTTAGTTTGATTCGAAAGTATTCTTTTATCGAATTGTGAATTTTCAGCGGCCCGTACTACAGGGCTCCGCGGATGTGGGAGCCGCCGTTCCAGTACTGTCAGTTTTTATTTTCATTTGCCTAGAAACAAATATATATCTTAACGCCTATGAGAAAAAAAGAACGACTTTGAACTATTCCATTCTTTGAAAATGAGAATTGAAAACAGACACGCATACTTCATTTGCCTGGAAACTCATTTTTCAGTGGCGTTTGACGCGCATAATGCGGCTAGACAGAGAATGAACGAGTTGTACGGCTGGCCCCACAGACCTTTCATCTACTTCCCGGGCAGAGGGCAGCGGTAAGTTCACGAAAAAAATTTGAAAAATTGAAGTAGGAAAAAATTTTGAAAGCATCGAAGTTGAATTGTTCCCAGTTGGGAAAAAGACAGACAAAGAACCATTCCAAATGCGACTAGGCAAGGTTTTGACAAAAAGGTTTTATGGCCTTCAAATTTTTTTTGAGGACCAGTGTAACAAAAGCTGTGCTTAGAATGACTATTCTGGGAGCGAAAAAAGGGACTCATCCATTCCAAACGCGGCTAATTGTACGGTGGAATTTTTATGAAGCAGATGAAAAGTCATTTCACATCCACAAAAAGCCATTCCAAATGTGACCGAGAACACAAAAGTGATCAGTTCAAGACGGCATTTTTTTCGAACCAAATAAGTTGGAAGATTTTTAAAAAACGTGCCTCGAAAAGGGGCGTGGCGAGCCCATCACAGAAGCTTCAATAGGAGATTCAGTGAAGCTCAGTTGCCAAAAAGCCTACAAAAAATATAACTTTGCTGAAATAACTCATGAAACTCACCTTTCTGATCGAAAGCCCTTCATGAAACCACGGCCAAAACACCGTTCTATGGCTACCGTAATCTGAAAGCAAGGTTTATTACCAATTTAAGCGATAATCCATTTCAGAGATCAGCCGGACGTCAACAACAACACGAGACGTTAACTGGGCATTCTCCAGAAAACTTCACTTTTGTCAATATTTTGTTTGTCCAGTATATTCATAACAGCTTCTGGAGGACTCGAAAAACCAGGACTAGACTTTAATTAGATTTTTTTTCGCGCCACGGAAAAAATGCTCAAAAAAGTTCCTTCGAGGAAAATCCTTTCAATACAATTTTTTCGCTTTTTTCCCCTTCTCTCGCAAAAAGGATACTGAAGCTGTTTCAAAAAAATAAAAACAGCCTTCAAAGATGTAAAAAAAAAGTGAGCAAAAAAGGCTTTATGGAGCTTTTTGTTGAGCCTTTTCAGCTTTTTTGAGAATCCCACTTTTACTTTTCGACCATTTTAAAGACTTCTGTTAGATGTTATGAATATTTTCTCCATTTTCTTATTTTTTGTACCAAGTTTTTTCTAAAACGTTCCCCTAATTTTCATAGGTTTTTCAAAAGCGGAAGCGCGACAAAATGTTGGGATTCAAGGTTTTTCGGACCGACTCTGACATTTTCTTCCTTGAAAAGCCGCAAAATTTTTTTGTGAATTTTAGTTTCTCAGCAAAATTTTCTGAATCCGTTCCCTTTTTAGAATTATTCCGGTTCTTTACTTTAGTGCTGGCCAGTAGCACCCGTTGAGCTAATACGTCGTAACGGGTGCTCTACGGGTACTGCAGCCGATCATCCGGTGTTTTTTTAACGTTTCGGGTGATCGCCTGGTCCTGAACGGAGGCTCGGGCGTTTGCGTAGATCCGCTGGACTCATATAAGTATAAACGGGGTCTTTTCGCGGCTAAAAATTGCATTTCGAGGGCTCGGCTGGAGTTAAACGAGTGAACGGCAAGTAAAAGTAAAACCCGAGGACTTGAGGATTTTTTTTTGATCTTTCTCACAATCGAAGTTGTTTGTCCTATACCACATTTCTTGCTTTGTTCATTACGTTTTCAAAAAAAAAAAACATCTTGACTTTTGAAAATTTCCGAGTTCTCGATTTTCTTTTCGAAAACAATCATTTTGAAGCGAATTGTTGTCTTCTGTTGTTTCAGTTGGAAGTGTGATGAAGTTTTTTTCTGTTTTTTTAAAATTAATTTTATTGCAATTTTAAACGTCTTCAAAGAGGATTTTTTTCGTCAGAAAAATTTTCTGAGTACCTCAGATCTCCAAAAAAACTGCTATTTTCAGAAAAAAAGAACTCCATGATCGAAAAATGAGATGAAAAAGGTTCACAAAAAACCTACAAATTTAAAGGCGCAAAGGACCAGAAAATAAATAATTTTGACGCGGTTATCAAGATTGAAAACCGCGTCAAAACTACTACAGGTGTATCACAAACAAACGATATTACAAATTAATAAATCTCCGTATTTAGAAAAACTAGAGGGCGTTCAAAAACGGAGAGGTTAGAGAAATCTCTTTTTCTGGTCTCTCATTTTTCCCGAATTCTCTCAATTTATTTTCAATCAGGTACCTTTCGTGGCAGTATTCCTAGAAGTGAACCTCTATTAATAAAGCCTCAGAATGAAGTTCACAATCGATAAAATTTCACGAGAAAACAAAACCAAAAAAAAAAGTTTATTATGTAAACAAGAAAGATTGGAGCACATTTTCTCTTTGGCCGGAAATGAAGTATCGAGATCAGAAGACCCAGAAAAAGTCATTCAAACAGAAGGAAAAGGGTTAGGATGTGAAAAAAAACGAGTACTAATGAAAAAAAACCAAAGAGGGAAAAAATAAAGGGGACTTTAGAAGGTTCTTTGTGATACAGATACCATCAAGAACCGATTTTCATCAAAAAAAGACTCACTTAAGGGGTCTAAAACTTCCAAAAAAAAAAAAAATCAACGTTATGAATACATTATATCTTCCAAAAAAAAACAAACAAATCCCTGAGAATTCGGAAAAGATAAATTTTCACTGGTCTTATCAAACTTTTTATAGTCCGTTCAGAATTTGAATGTCAAGTAAAATGACGTGATTCGAAAATGCTCTGTGGATGGCTCGCTCTCTGATTGGTTTGTCGCGCCATTAGGGGGCGGAGCTTGAGCGACGACTTGACATTCAAAATCTGAACAGACTATAGTACACATAATTATCCTTTAAGAGGTCACTAAAACACTCTTTCACAATACAGTAAGACAAGCGCTTCTGGTTGCGATCGCTGCGAAATCTCTTCCGTCCTTCTCGATTTTCTGCCGATTTTTGTGCGTTTTCAGCCAAAACTGACATTCTCGGGTTACGCGATCATCTTGCACGAATGGCGGCAGGTCGAACTTCTGAAAAAATGTTTCAAATGGAAAAGATTCGAAAATGATGTTATGCGGGCCCAAATTGCGTAGAATTCTCGATTGTGGTTTTTGTAAATATAGTGACCAGAATTTTCGAAAAACTGACTTCGAAACTCTTCATATAATGAAGAAATAGGTACTTTAAAACTGTTAAAACCTCTATAAAGCCCAAAGAACTTTTTAAAATTTGAAAAACTCGAAAAAATAGGCGTTTTAAAAAAGACCGAACCGACCGGTTTCTCAAGCATGCCAAAAGTTATTCAGTTAGCAAAAAGGGAGCGATCAGGAGAGAAACATCGTGTACCGCTCATTTTCACGTGTGAAGTTCGTTTGAATGTTCCCTCTTTTTAACATGATTTTTTGGCGATACGTTTTTGAATCATCGCTGAAGGTTTGAACTATACATTTTAATTTCTCTATTCGGCGTGAGTTGGTCGCATGGAGAATCGCTCATTTTTTGGTGGTATAAAAAAATAGTTAGAAATTTCGAAACCGGCTTTCCGGAAACATTCGGATCCGAAAACTTCCAGCTAATAACAAAGCTGCAAAAAACGGCTCTAATTAGACTATCTTTTGCAGCTCGGCTATGACGTCATTCTGACCAGACTCAAATCAAAAATGACGTCATAACCGATTTGCTGTAGATTGCGACTTGGCTGTGACCAAAAAATGACGTCAATTTGAAACATTGACAACCGCGTTTGTGCCCGTAGTTTAAACCTCTTGCGTCAACTTTCGAAAATTTTTGGGGAGATCTTTCCTTGGTATATTTTTCGCATGGGTTCCGCCAGAGCGCACTTTCGGCTTCGATTGGATCAAATCACAAACATGGATCAGGAACATCCGATAGGCGGCCCATTTCAAAGGCTCAGCATTGAGGCGGCCATCTCTGACGCGGGTCTCGGCACGAAGGACGTCGACGATGACGACCGCCGCCTTCTCGACCCAATCGATGCGACGCGATGTCGCCGCGGACGTCAGCTCGTCCCAGAAGTCGCTCGACCAAACCCTCCACCATTTCGATGAGATCAGGGGTCTTTTCGAGGACACGCTCTGCTGAAAATGGAATGAGCATACATTTTACAAGTTTTCAGTACCTCCTCGTCTGAAAGCGACTTTTTCCTATGAGAATCCGTGGTAGTATAGGCTTGATACTCGATAAACGGATCGTTTTTGAAAAAGCTGCAAAGAAATTTTAAACAAACTTGAATAGAAGCCGAAAAATAGCTCGTGAAATTCTAGTTATTCTAAACAAGTCATTTTATTTTGCGACTGAGAATGCCCTGAAAATCGGCCAGATTACTCCTTGATGTTCCAAAAGTTTGAGATACTATTTGAAAAAAAAAATCTGCCGATCAAAAGATCATCGTTTTCTCTATTGATTGTGAATCAATAGAGAAAACGATCTTTTTTCAGAAATCGGCCGATTTAATGGAGAATCTCAGAATAACCCACAAAACCTTCGAATTTTTCTGCTGAAAAACCCCATCAAAAATCTTCTAACTTTCTTCAATCTCAATCAACTTCTAATGAAAGTGATTCCGCGAAATTCAAAATAGCCGTCAGAGAGTGAAAATAATAACTAAAACTTTGAGGGTCTGGGATAATTTTTCATTCCGCGGAAATTGCCTCGAACGCAAATTGTAGTTCTTATAAAGAATATATGAAAACTTGAAATAACCTATGTTCTCTTCTGAAAATCTCTTCAGCTCAAAAACCAACCTATAAACATGTTTCTTGTCGAAGAACCTATCATGCAACAAAGAGCCGATAGAAGAAATGGCCCTTGATTTTCCAGGATGTGTTGCGGTCACCTTGAAGAAGATGAAGTCAAATATAAGTGATGACGTCACAAACCTTCCTATCCATGATTTTCCTGGTACAGCCCATCATAATGATGCAAATGAGTAGAGCGAATAAGGAGCCCCAAAACTTAAAAAAAATCTTTTGAAACAATAATTTGTTCGAAAAGAAATAAATATATCATTTTTCTACTCACGAAGAACTTTTTATACGAATGCCGTTGGCGAAATCCACGAAAACGGGCGGTCCTGTTGCCGATCAACGTGGCGGCGATCGAAGTCAGCAAAATCATCCGGAGCGTGTCGAGACCCAACACTTTTACCTGTTCCATTCTAGTGTTTTCATCCAAGATTCTTGTGTAGATTTCCAATTATTTGCTTTCAGTCGTTTTATGGATTCTTTCAAAAACACTTTAGTTAATTATTTGGGCCCAAAAAGGATTAAAAGGTGTGAAAAGACTTTCAAAAAGCCTTATTTAACATTTGTAGAAGCTGATAAAAGCTAAAATAAAAAGATTGATTCCTTTCTCAGTGAAGCTCGCTTGTTAAAACTCGCACTTTTTTGAGAATTAAATTATTTTTCTTTTTGTAAAGTGCAATGAAAAAGCAACAATTAAACGCAAAATGACTACTTTTTAGAAGATTATTCTGTTTATTTTAGAGGAGTTTTATCGAAATTGTTGCCCAAAAATAACTCATAACATGATATGAATCAAATTGAATGAGAGAAGAAGATTAAGAACATGAATTGAATGAGAATCTTCTTCTCTCTAAAGCTTCCGGTTGTAAATTTCTCTAAATTAAAGAAAACTTCCGTACTTACCAGTAAGAAGGAGACGCTGGAAGCCGTCAGCCAAATGTACAACAATTCCCTGGACTGCCCTCCACATTGTCCCACGACGTAAATTCCTGAAATCGAATCGAATTATTACGCTTCGTTTTTCAATCACCCGCACTAATTGCCGCCGAAATGATCACCACAAAAAGTAAATGATCGAATTTGGTCCATCCAAGAGTCACGGAACACGCTAGCCACGCAAGAAACCCTGAAACTGAAAAGTTCTTATGAGGAAAAGAAATAAAAGGAATAAATATAAAAGTTTGTTCTTTTTTTACGTGCTGCGCAAAACCCCTTTCTTCAAAAAATGACCAAAATATTCTGATTTTGACCAAAACGAACAAAAAAAATCATCTTTCATGCGATCCACACATCTTACCAATCCAGCATCCGTACAAAATCGAAAAAATGAGCCGCGAAAAGGAAAAGCTCACGAACTTCGACTGCGCCGCGAGCAGTTTTCCATTTCTGAATAATATTTGCAACTGTAATGCTGAAAATTGAGATTCAAACTTGAACTTCTCTTTCAACAAAGGACTGTCGTCCTCTTTCGACAAATTCACCCGCGAAACTTCCGAATTCAAATAAAAACTGTCATACAGAACTCCTGAAAAAACTTGTTATTGAAAATAAGCTCAAAAGTAACTTCTACCTAATAAAAATACTCCAAAAGTGGAGAAAAACACGAAAGCTTCGGGAATTTGGCGAAGATATAAACGATGGGCGCCGAAAAAGCCGCCAAAAACGAGGAGAAGCCTGGAAAAGTTTCAAAACTGCCGCTAAAAGTACATCAAAACGGTCAAAAATGCTTTACCGGAGAACTTTCTATGAAAATGAATAAAAAAAGGACTTTTGGAACCTTTTTTCCTTTCATATGTTCGCTTGAAGCCTCTACAACTTTTTTTTTCGAAGAATAATCAGCTTGAGATTTCCCAATTTTTGCGTTCAACAAGACGATTTACTCGAACAATACTTCAAACAGAGGATAACTTGAAGAATAATTGGCCGAAATTTAAAATATCTCAAATTATTAACTTTGAAAAACCAAATTCGACCAAAGTCAGAAAAAAAGACAAACCTCGCCTTCCAAGGCTTCACATCATCATCGTCGTCTTGAAATCCCATGTAGCATTAAAAAAATCTTGAAAAAAATAGCTATAAAAAAACATTGATTTTCATCAAGGATTCCTCAAAAAGACATGTCGAAACAATTCTCGCATCAAATTTGACCTTTTTAAAAAAATGAAATCATCCCTTTTTTTAAATTTACTTCAAAAAAATCACCAAAAAAAGTTTCAAAATTTCCAGTTCAACGATGAGAATTGGTGAAGCAAAAAAATATCCACAAGGTTTTTTTCGAATCCTTCTTCTTTTTCAAAAAAATTCATCAAAAAAATTCATCTCTTTATCAACAAAAAAATACAAATTTTTTTGTAAAGAAACGTTCTCATACAATAAAACTCCCCAAGTAGTTTTTGTTTTTACAATTGCAAGTTTTGAAAAACAGAAAAAGGAACTGGATATTTAAGAAGAAAACCCACGAGAAAACTGATACGAAAAAGCAAAAATGACGGTTGATAAATAGAAAGTTTAAAATCTTCGGCGGAAACAGAACTTTTTATAATCGAATGAACGTTTTGAAACCAATTGCTTCGGATGAAAAACTCTCCGAAAGGCTGAATTTTTTTATATTCTTTTAAAGCTTCAAAAAAACCTAAAAGATTTAATGGTAAGTTTCAAAACTCTTGAAGAATAAACTTTTCGACTCAAATTTCAAATTATCAGTGCTATTGAGATTTTAGAAATTTCAACCTTTCAACCCTCAAATCATCATAAATAAAAGCATCTGGAATGAAAAGAAAAGGCAGAGAAAAATCAATATTATTATGTTTCGATCAAGTAAAATGCAGAAAAAAAAACAGAAAAAGTAATCACACGAAGGGGAACGGATAAAACTTTGTGAAAAGGGGGAAAACCGTAACAAGTAGGATTGATAAGAGGTCTCCAAAGGGATTCCTTAAGAGGAAAAAGATAATTCACAAGTAGCCTTTTTAAAACTGAATTTTGGCCATTTGTGAAAAAAAAAGAATTTTTGATTGATGGTCGGTTAATCAATCTTAACAGCTGCGTAAATCTTCTTCAGGAAAAGGTAGGAAGCGTAGAATCCAACGGTTCCGGTCATGAACCAGAAGGTGAGGGCGATCAGGAAACTGAAAATTCTTCATTTTTATCACTGAAAAAAACACTCTTAAAAAAAGGCATTTTTCAGAAATAGTTTTTTTAAATAAAAATCTTCGAACTGTTTCTTTTTTTGAAGTTTATAAATTGAGAAAAATGCCTATTCGAAAATGAAGTTAAAATTCAAATAAAAGGTTGAAAAAAATGCAAATAAGTTATAATTGAACGTTCACATCTTTTTTTCTAATAAAAAAATCGCTTGATGAAGAAATAAACACCAAAATGTTTATTTTTTTCACGATTACTCTTTTTCGAACGTGGAGAACTAATCACTATGGAAACCTGATTAAACACTACTTCATTCAAAAATAAAAATTATCTTGATAAATTTAAAAAACAGGGGGCACCTGTAACTGAAGTAGAGAACAGTCGGCACAAATCCCTCGATCGTCAGCTTCGAGTGATAATAAAAGACCGCATAGGCCATCACTGAAAAAAAGCGTTTGAGAACGCAAAAAATGAATCAAAGCATTTTTCATAGGAAGAATCCGAAAGATTGACAGAAAAAACCTTATCAGTATTCAAAGACACAAAAAATAACGTGAAATATCCAGTTTGAACATAGATAACTTCAAGAACTACAGAAAAATTGGTTAAGTATTTTGAAATCTAGATAATAACCAAAAAAAGCTTGAAAAAAGTTAAAAAGCAAAAAATCACTAAAAAGGTTTGTATGAAGAAAATACATCGAGTTCCATTTAATACTAATTATCAATAATATTTTCTATAAAATTGAAACAAACCATAAATGGCCGAGCCGCCGCTGACCACAAAAGATCGCCACCACCATCGGTAGTTCTGAAAATGGCGATTTTCAATGAAATACAACAAAATTATAATTTTCTTTCTCTCGACGATAACCACCTCAGCGCAGAGCATGAAATATGTTGCCACGACGGAGATTTGCGAAGTAGATATGGCCAGAATGATGCAGACAATGAAGAGGAAGCCGAAGAGGTAGTAGAACTGGTTCTCCCAGATCGCCTGGTAAACAAATTGATAAGAAAATGTTGAATTCAATTTTCTATATAGCCTTTTTCTTAAATTTTCTGTACAGTCGTCCTATGGGGGAATCTGAATGAAAGCCGTTTTGAATTTTTAAAACATAATTCTTTTTTTGCTTTAAGTTTAATTTCGAAGCGACGAAGCACTATGCTAACGCTTCGAAATCAAAAATTCATAAACTTTGAATATTTGAAAAATAAAATTGGAAAAACTATCGAAAAAAACAACAATTTTAATATCGGATTAAACGAAAAGTTCATTTTCCAGCTTCATTTTAGATTTTTGAATGATTTATCTTGTTTTTAAATCTTGAATTTATTTCCAATAGCTCAAAAAAATTATAGCATTTGTTCAAATTCCTTTAATGTTTCTAGGTGTAACTTGTTTTTAAATTTATAATTTCTTCTCAAAAGATATTATTTTTTTCAAAAAAACCTATACGCAGCGTTCCCTCTAAAGCAAAAAAATTTGGAATAAAAAAAGGAATAGACAAAAAAATGATTCAGAGAGGAATGCGTACATTGAAAAATGAAGAAGAGTTCGATGAACATGGCTCCGAAGGGCAAAATTCCGGCGATCAACGAGCACGGCAACGTTCTCAGGTACCACGGTTGTTCAGGAACCTGTAATTCGGAATTTTAGGATTCTATAATTTTTTTTTCCTGATACCTGCCGTGGGATCTGATTGGTGCGGACCGGGTGGGTGTACGGCTAAAAAAAACTTTTTTTTAGTTTCATTTGTTTTTCCGATTTTTATGCGCTGCACATCACAGATTTTCAGAAACTACTATAGCCGATTAACGACTAGCCTGGGCGTCGTCTGTCTGCGCACTCCACTTACCAAGAACTGCCTTTCTTCTTATCCCGACAGGACCTTTTTTAATTTCTCAATAAAACCTTTCTAGATCTTTTGCGTTCTCAAAGTTAAAATTTGGGAAGAAGGCTCGTGATTTTCGGCTGTTTCAAACCAACCTGCTTCCTATAACCGAAATAGAAACCCAAGAAGATCAGGGGCATGTCGATACCGAACCACATGACCGACAGGGCGATCATTGTCCCGAAAGGAACCTGGAAAATGAAATCATGAGCTTTTTGATCGATATTTCCCGACACTTACAGCTCCTGACGAACTGTTGCCGATGAGGAAAAAGTTGAGCAGGAATCCAGCGCCAAGAATCAACGATGGGAACAAGGTAGCGGTCTGAATTCGTTCAATACTCAAGAATTAATATGTATGAATAATTGGGTATTTTTTTCTAATTTTAAAAACAAAAAAATCTTTTTACAAATCTCAGCTACCTAGAACGAAAAAAAAATTATAAATTTTCCACAAGCTGAATCTTGTTGTTCTATCGCCTATTCATAATAAAATTTTTTTAGGTCATTACTTCAAATTAGTGTGTTTATACAGAGACTTTCTATCCAGGTTTTGAGACAAATTATTCAAACAGATCTAAAATAAACCTTCATTTCATCCCGCAGTTTTTCGAATCACCAAAATGAAAAAATATCATAACAACGGCGATTTTAAAGCTAAAGAATAAAAATTGAATTTCCCAAGTTCATACCATGACGTCACTAGTTTTGAACTGGATTTATAGAAAAGTTCTTTCATTTCAGTTGCGCTAGAATTTTGGGAATAAAAATTAAACTTATAGATTTTTTTTTCTCTTCACTCCCGGTTTCTTCTCACTTCTTAGTTCATTTTCCAAATTCCCTTTCATTTCTTTTCTCTTCTCTTCTTTTCTCCGAACACTCTGGATTCACCTGAACAGCGCATCGAATCGGATTCCTGCCTTTCATCGTCTTATAGAGGCGTCCGGCATGATATCCGGAAATCAGGCCCATGAAACAGAAAAGGAAAACAGCGGCCGACATGAGGGAGCCTCGGGATGACGGCGACAGCATTCCCAGCATGGCGCAGACTGCAATAAATTTCCATTTCTCTTCATTTTTCAACTTTTGACTTCCAATCGAACATTAAATTTGATAAAACTTTCTTAAACCTAAACTTCTAAGAACGAATAATTATTTTTTTCCTTTCAAACCAAAAAAAATAAGTTATTTTTTCCGGGAAATGAGCTGAATGTTGATGAATCCGGCTGCTGATACTCGAAACACTTCTAACACCAGAATCATCAATTTTTTTATTTCAAAAAAAGCTTTTTTTGTACTTTCCTACCTCCAAATTACTCAGATATAATTTTTTTAAAAAGACTAAAAAAGCCTCAATTCAGATAAAGAAAAGCCTCTTTTCGGCCCTGAAACCCGCACAAAAACTCACAAACGACAATGGAAACCATTCCGAGGAGCTGAATCCCAGTTCCGACCATGTTCACAAGGATCATCTGGTGCGGCGGCGGTCTGAAGACGTCGCCATGAACCAACTTCCAGCCGGTTTCTTCCAGGGTGTCGTCCTGAATCAAAAAAAGTCAATTTCTTCAGAAAACTCGCCTAAAAATAATTTTGTTTGAACATTTTCTAATATCATTATCGAGTCCTCTTCCCTCCATCACCACAAGATCCGACACATATTTTCCCTGATTCTTCCTACATCTATTTCGTAAATTTCAGTACTTGTGTGTGAAAAATAAAAAATTTTTTGATTTGATTTAAAAAAAAAACATTAATCTGAAAAAAAAAATTTTTCAGCCAAAGTTCACCTCTTCCTCATCCTTATTATAATGGGCAATATCGCGACGGACCGTTCTCACGATCGAGACGCTCAGGAATCCTGAAAGATGAAACTGATCTGAAGATCTCGATTGAAGATCCCACCAGACAGAGAAAGAACAACGACGATGGAGTTGAGGATACTGAACCAGTGGATATCCGTCGCTTTCACGGCCAAATAAACGTCCCAACGACTGGCCCAGGGGATCTGAAAAAGGTCGAAAAAAGTGGAGATTCAGGAATAATGAGATAATGTGGATATATATCAGAACAAAATCCACATAAAAAAACAAAATTGAAAGGCTAAAGAAATTTTTAGATTTTCTCTAGTTTGTTTTAAAAAAAGAATTATAACAGTAAATAATTGATAATTCAACAAAAAAATTGATAAAAAAATTATTTAAGAAAAGGCCAAATAATATATCAGATTTTTTTCCAATTTTCTTTTTGCCGTTTAAGAAATTCAATAGTAAAAAAAGAGCAATATCGAAGAAAATCCATATTAAAATTAGGCAGAAAAAGTCAAAATAGTCAATATCTACTTTTGATTTTCTCTCTAGAACAAGAAACGAACATCGCTCTCTTCCCAGGACACCGAATAGGTCCATGGGATGGACTGGGCGCCTTCTTTCAGTTCGAATGGTTCCGTTCCATCCGCCGCTGGTGAGCATTCCTGAAACATTAATATCATTTTTTAAAATTCAACAAAATTTCTTTTCGTTAAAAATAGACTTTCGTCATTTTCGTTCTATGAACATGAGAAAAACTTATACTCGGGCAAAGTCGGTATGGTGGATAAGGACTTTTTAAAAGGAGAGGCTTAAAAAAAGCCGCAAAAAGGCAGCAGAAAACGAGTCAATTCAAGAAGCCTGACATTTTTTAGAGAATTTTAAAAGTTAAAAAAAGGAGAGGCAGCAAAAATGGTTTATAAAAGCCCACGGAACTGCGCGAAAAGGATCCTTTGTTACCCTGAAAGGTTTTTATAGCCTTTTTAGATCCTTTGCATATTTTTTTAAAAAAATATTTCCGAATTTTAATAATTGAAAGCAACGCGTTTTGAAACAAAAAAATCCAGAATTTCAAATTTCTTTCCATCAAAACTAAAAATATGACTTTCTCGACCCCAAGACACACCTTTCCGGATATCAATCCGCTTGCCGACCTCGGCACAACTTCGAATCCAACGACTCTGAAAAAAGACGTGAATCGGTAAGAAAAGGTTCCAGATTCCCTTCAAAGAATTCCTCGAAAAAAAAAGTATCGATACAGTTTCAAACAAAAAAGATTCAATCTCTTCACGATTTAACCGATAAAGAGCTATCTGGGGCTCACAAAAGAAAATTAGAATAAAGTAAATATTTTTTCAGAGAGATTCCATGCGAAATTTCTGCGATAATTGCATTATTTAGTTTTTTTCAGCTGACAAAAAAAAAAACAAGAAAGTTCAACTAGAATGGCTAGACTATACTTTTTTTGAAGTGTTTATATCTCAAACAGAAAAAGAAATTGATATGTAATGATTAGGAAAAAAATTCTACCTGTACAGCCCCGGCGAGTGCTGATGATACTTCATCACAAAATGAAGATGATTATTTAGATAAATCTGAAAAAATATGGCATTTTCTCTGAAAACATTGATTTATTCAAGAAAATGTGATTTTTTCTGAAATTCGATCCAAAATCCATACATTTCCCTCCTTATCGGACCATCCGAGCCGATAGCCCAAATCGTAGAAAACTTCGCCGCTTTTCGTCACCACTTTAGTTGCCACTGGCAAATTGTCGACCAACCTGTAAAAATTGATATTTTTGTTGAGTATTTGCTGAGGATGACTATAAACCAAAAGGAAGTCATATATAAAGTCAGGCCTGAAGAGACGCCAGAGAAATTAGAGATTTTTGGCTGTCTGGCACCTCTTCCGGCCCGAGCAATTTCTCGCTTTTCATTGACCTCTAAAAAGGCTACAGAGAAACTACTGGAAAAATGAGAGGCAAAGAGATCGCGTGAGGTATGAAGAGACATTTTGAGATACCATTTCTCTGATTTCTCTGGCTTCTCTTCAGAAAACCTTTATCTCTCGCTCCTAACTATTGAGTAGCTTGTTTTTAGCTCTTTTTAATCACTATGTAGTCTTTTCAGTCTTTGAATGTCAAGTGACGTCATTTGGAAACGATCTGTGGATGGCTCGCTTTCTGATTGGTTCATCGCGGCAATAGGGGCGGAGTTTGAGCGGTGGTTTGACATTCAAAATCAGAAAAGTCTATAGCCACTCTATTCGAAGCGAGATAACTCAAAATAAAACATGAAAAATCGATGAAACGGACAAATGAGCATGATATTCTTGATGGATTCGTTTCCTGAGCCTCTCAACATCATCCTTCGACTGTTCATCCGTACAGAGTGTCTGGCATTTAACGTCTTTTTTCATTTGGAACTGAAAAAACGGAAATTTTCTTTCACAACAGGAATTTTTCTCAATTACTCACCGTATAAGGCGTGTTAACGATGCGATCTCCTCGCATAACTTCTCCAAGATTCTCCGATTTGTAGACGATTTGTCCACTGGCCGGCTTGCAGAATGGCAACGAATAGTACTCATAAGGGAGGATATTGTTCGTGCTCGTCAGCTTTATCGCCTGGAAATTCAGAGTATTGACTTTTAAGCCCTATGAAGCATCAATTGACTCCATATTGATGCCGTATTCAAAGTGATTCCCGCGAAACGCAGAATTATCTCTGACTCTCAAAAAGTTATGTTTTTTTTTCACTTTCTGATGGCCATTTCGAATTTCGCGGAATCACTTCGAATACGGCATGAAGTAGGCCTGATTGGTTTTTTTTTTCAAATCAAATCGCTTTTAACCACCAATAAATATTGAGACGACATTAATATTGATCGTTAAAATTTTTTAAATTCGTACTTGAAAAACAAGGTAACATGAAAATAAAGGCAGCGAATTTTCAAACGGCGACTTTTACGATTTTTTCATATCAGGGAAACTTTATTCAGGGAACTTTCCAACTTTTTTCCCTTACGTTTTTCGGTTTATAAAACATCCATTAACATTTTTTTTCCCCTATTTCTTTGTGTTTTAATCATGAACCAACTACCTACTTTATATAGGCAGATTCAGAACGAAGATTATATCGAGAAAAAAAGTCGGAAAAGGATTAGTCTGAAACGTCGCCGTCGGGAAATTCCCTATCGATATGAACAAATCGGAAAAGCCGCCGTTCGAATTTTCGCTGGTCTTTTTTCATACCACCAAAGATACCCAAATAAACATATTTAAATTCTCAGTAAAAATATATTCAAATCATCAAAAGCGCAGAGCTCCTTGCAAGCAAGGTAATCTTGCTTTGCGGTTTTCAACATCCCTGAAAAATGAAATGGATCCCTTGGTGTACCAGATAAAGATGCCGAATGTCTCAACCTGCTCAAATCCCTAATTTTTAGAAAACAAAAGAATGATCAATTTTTTTGAAACGTATTTTGAGGGTTTTATTTTTGAATTTGAATTTAAAGCATCTTTTCTCGAAAACTAAAAAGTTGTACAGGTTGAGCTTTTCGGAATCTTTATCTGGTACATCTAAGAGCACTCTGGCCAATTTTCAGGAATTTCAACCCCAACGAAAATGGCCTTTCTTGCAAAAATCTACAGAACCTTAACCTTTTCATCGAAAAATCTACTTTAACATGAATTTCACCCTAGTTACTCTTCTCACAATTCATTCAACCGCCCCAAACTTATCCGAAACTGTTCCAGTTTTCCCTATCAAACTGACCTTGACGTCGATCGTGTCGCCCTCTTTGAAATCGAATGGTGCTACTCCGGGAACATAAAATGCGTCGTCTCGGGGGAAAAGACAAAAAAGCAGCAATAAGCTGCTCACTCGCAAGGTGATCATTACCTGGTAACAAGTGGAGTTAATTAAAGGCTTCCGGAAGAAAAAATGGACTTGACAATTGAAAAAGAAACAGAACCGGAAGAAAAACGAATTTGGGAGTAGGAAATTTGGAAAAAATCGATTCACGTACAGTTTCATTGTATACAATTGTATGCACTTCAAGTAATCTACATACAACTTTGATAAAAGTCGGAATTCAAATTTACTAACGAAAAAACATTGTTTTTAATAGAAGATAGAATAACGGATTTTAAAAACCCTCGGAGAAATTATTGAAGGTAAGGAGAATTTTTTGAACCCTTTTAAGTCGAAAAGTCATTTCAAGTTTTATTTCTGTCACGCAAAACTTTTTCGCTTCAGAACAATTTCCTAGGAGCTCTGAAACAGAATTCAAGAAGAAAAAAAGCTGGTAAATAATAAGAAATTGGAGATGACAGCACTAATAAACGAACATGTAATCCGTTTAAAAAAACGCATAAAATAAAAAGAAAAAAACGGAAATCCATGTAAGAACAAACATAAAAAAATGAATGCTCCACGTGGTTAACAAATCATTACATGCTTGTTTACGTGACGCTACACGTTGCGTTTCTAGTTTAATGGGGATTTCTGGAATAAAAGCATGGAGAATGAAGAAATAAGTACAAAAAATGAAAGTGTAACACTTGAGATGAATAGATGGAAGTGGAAATAGATGGAAAAATGGAGATAGATGGAACCTTATGCCGTGTTCAAAGTGATTCCGCGAAATTCAAAATAGCCGTCAGAGAAAGAGAAAGATAACTGAATTTTGGAGGGTCAGAGACCATTTCGCATTTCGCGGAAATTACTTTGAACACGGCATTAGCCCTCTAACAAAAGTTGCGGTGCACCCCGCGTCCAACTCTCGTTTCACCCCGCAGTGTAACCAGGGGTGCACCCCGTTTAGCTTTAAATGCCAATTAAGGTACTATTTCCGTACACGATTTCGAAGTGGTTTGTTTCCCAATATCACCATTTCCTACCGTTTCATCCTAGGTCGTTTCGGTAGCTCAAAAAGAACTTTTCATTTCTGACCGGTTGTCCCAGGGGTTCACCCCATTCAGGTCCAACGCGGGGTTCAGCGCAAACATCAACGAAAAGCTCACTTTTTTCGGGGTTCACTGCGGGGTACACCCCCATTTTTGTTAGAGCCGTTGATAGGTAATATATCACGGCGTTCCAAAAGGGAACTCGCAAGCGAGCCGATGAGGCGTGTCATTTTACCGCGCCCTTGCGTTCGTTGGAGCGTACTTGCGCAACAGAATTTTTTTTTTTTGAAAATTCACAATTTCTTAAAACTTCGTTTTTGACTTTTTCTGAAACGTTTTGATTGAATTCAGAGTATTTTTTGTGATTATCATGATGTCCATGGAATAGTGGAAGCTTTCGAATCATAAAGAAGAAATTCGATGAAGTTTCACTGGAAATTATACGTAAAATTGCTTCTCAGCCTTCAAATCGGTTTTGCGAAAAATTTTCAGCTACAAGCCTATGGTATTTATGTTCAAAAAGATGAAAGAACGATAGTAAAACGTAAAACAAAAAAAGTTGAATGAATGTTGTTGAGAAGTTTTGATAAGTTTTATCATAGGTAAAACGGAAAAGTTCCTTTGAGGATCTTTAAAGGATCCTGAGAGGGAGATAAAAAGCTTCCTCTAAAAGCTCCTAAAATGATGTAAAAAAGCTTTTGAGCACCTTTTTCATAGCCTCAGAGGATCCTTTTTGAATCCTCTCGAATCTTTTTAGTTGCTTTCCAGCATCCTTTTTGTCAGAGGATGTGAAAAAGATGCAAAAAAGAATTGAAATGAATGTTATTTTTAAATCTTGCTGAAAGTTTTTTATGCATTTTGAAGACTTGAGTGAAATTTCAATTTAATAAATCTGCGAAAAAAGACGCAATAATGAAAAATGAAAAACATTTCTCGGACCGCCGCTCTCTGAGAAATTTACGACAGTATTTAACGGGAAACGACTTTAAAAAAGTTCAAAATCTCTACTATTCAAGTAAACCACTATCACAACAAAACGAAAAGAAAGAAACATGGAAAAAGGCGTCAGAATGAGTTATCAAACTCATTCATCGGATCCACGCTGGCGGCACGGACTTTTGGGTGGAGCCTAGCGAGTTAGATCCGCGTGTCGATTGCAAAAATCGCAGTTTTTTACGAAAATTTCTTTTTAAAATCCACTTTTAAAGTTTCAACGTTTTCATTAAACAAACTTCAGCCCAAGATATGCAAACCAAGGAAAAACAACAATAGATAAATATTTCAAAAAAAGCTTGATATGATGAGTATCAAATAAAATAATTAAAGGGAAAACGAAAACGAAAACACGGGTCATGGAACTCGACAATTATTATCAAGGAAAAAAAATGATTAGGGGAAACGGCAAAGGAAAAATTGTAAGTTTTTCAATCAGCATTTTCAAATTTTTGGGCAATTTCTACGGTTTGAGGCGGCGGAATCGCCTTGATCGCACTCAGAAGGAATCCTCCGACGACATGTTGCGACATCATCGGATGGGTACGGTCAGGGAGCACCTGAAAAATGATTCCATCCAAGATATAAAATAATAAATAACACGAATTCCCCTGTTTCAACTAACTCATAAACAAAGGCGACTTGATTAGATCGTCCTTGCACAAAAAAAATTCCTGATAATCTTAATAAAAAAGGGAAATTAGAAGCGCTAAATTGAGAAAAAAAAAAGCTGCGAAATATCTTTTCACTATCAAACAAATGATCTCCTTCGAAGAAATCGCCATATGCGGCTAATTTATTATTTTGTGAAGCTGGCCAAATAATTTATGAGCTCTAACTTTTTCAACGGACAACTTTTTTTCCTCTGAAAGCACCCAATTTTTCAGATATTTCAGTTTTTCATTTCTCAAATAAAAAAAGAATTCTAAAGTATTCCTAACGTAACGATTCCCCTTCAGATAAATTTTTTTATCGAGAAACTTCAAATTTTGGCCGATTTCCATGACCATCTCGACTTTTTTTTACAAAAATAAATAATTTAAAAATCAAACCAAGAGCTTCAAACTTTTGAAAGTGTCAATAACTTCTCAATTCATTCGACTTTTGTCAGATTTTACCGTTATGAAAAAAAGATTCCTCCTTTTTCCGAACACCTAGAAAGCGGAAAAAAAATTAAGAACCTGCTGAACCCGGTACATTTGATCGACGAGCTGCATATGGATCGCATTTTTTTTCACCAGCCATTCGTAAGCGTCAATGAGGGGCTGGAAAAGTCCGATTTATATTTTTTTTTTAAATTTCAAAACCTTTAATTGTGGTCCATAAATCACTACCGTGGAGCCCGATCTCAGTTTCGGGTAGAGTATTTCGAGAATAGAAACTGGGTCGACCTGCAAAAAGGTCAAAAAAAGTAACAAAATCTTTTTTTCATTGTCTGTATAATTAGACAAATTCGTATCGAAAAAAATGGTTAAAAATAAGTTTTTGAAGAAATTCCTCATTACCGAGTACAAAAAAATCTGAATATTTTTTTTGAAACTATCCTTGTTTCGAAAAAAAAACAGCTCAAAACATTACGGTTCTCGTCGCGATAATCAGGGAATCAGCTCCTCTATCGATCAACTCCAATCCCAATTTTTCGCTGTCCAACCGATCTTGGCGTCGTTTCAAAGCAGCCTCCTAAATCACTATTTTCAAACGGATTTTCAGCTGAAATTCTCTGAACTTCGAAAATATTAGGCTTCTTGAAAAAAATTTAAAAAAATTTGATATTTTTTTGCAATTGATTCTCAAGATCTCCCCAGATTCACTCCATAACTTTATTCGAATATTGTTCCGGCGCCTTTTTTATGAACTGAAATGCAAAAAGAAAAGACAAAAAGTCTGAAGTTTCTATACCGTGAGAGAAATTACGAAAATAATTTTTTAGTCGAGTCTTCCTCGTGTTGAGTTCAGTCTTTTTGAAATTATACGAAGCTGCGTTTCTTTTTTCTTCTTCTGCGCACTGAAATTCCAGAACAATATCACAAATAACAGTAATCAAAAATCCGGAAAGTTTAGAAAAATCAAACTCCGTACATGAGACTTGGGGTTATTTAAAAACAAAAATATAGATCCAATTTTTTTAAATTACTGTGAAAAAAATTTGAAAGCCAAAAAGGCTTCTTCTTGCATATTTTTCTTTCCATTTGACGATTCATTGAAAAAGAAGCAATTATTCATGTCTCTTTGATTTTTCAGAAATTCTAAAATTTTTTTAATGATATTGTTCTGAAAAAAAGCACGTGTGCAATTAATGACTGCGAAAAATTTTTGATCGCAATTACTTTTTTTCCAACTAATTTTCTTTCTGACCATTTTAAAAGTCATTTCCTTCAATAAAGTTAATAACTTGTTTTCGAGAATTCAAATTCTTCGAAAGAACTGGTTCAATTTCGAATTTCTTCGAAAACTCCGCACATCAACTTCGTAGAACGGAGCGCCGCCTTCAGAAGTCCCCGGCTTGACTTCGTTCATTTCGACGTCTTCTTCGACTTTCGACTTTTTCTCTTCGGGTCCTTCTTTATAATTCGGACGATTTGTGTCGTACGGCAGTTGTTTTCCGGCCAGAAGACAGGAAATTCTCACTGGCAGGAACGTTGAACTGATCTGAAACCGCGAAAAAAGCTACTTTAAAATTTCCGATAAATTCGTACTTTTTTTGGAAATTTTTTATGACTAAAGCGAGCTTCCAGAAAAAATAAACAAACTGTCTCATCTACAACTTATGATTTTTAAACACGACTTTTTTGTTCCAAACAATTCACAGCCTCATTTTTCACTATAGGTCTGGGATGCCAAAAAAAATGCGGTTCAAACGATTCTAACTATAACAGAACCTGAAAAACTGATGGAAACTCAAATCTCATAAGTTTGAGGATATTAATAATTTGAAAAAACCCACCTTCTCATCAAAACTCATTGAATGAAAGCAGGGAATCGATTGAGCAATGGAGCCCTGGAAAAAGGTTCCGTTAAGGGGTTTTCCAGTGAAAAGACCCTATGAATATGAACGCATTTCCCTTTTCCGCCCAAACGTTCAACGACCGCAGCAGTAACCAATCCGAGAGTCTGAATGAACTTTTTCCTAGTTATAAATAGTAATATGAGTTCTGGAAGTTGGTTTTTGAGCATAAAAGGCGTTCTGAAACTTTTATTTCGATTCACTCTAACCTCACAAAATTATCATTTATTCCCCAGATAAAAAATACCTGATCAAAAAGGACAACATTTTTGTTGTAATGAATGCCGGCCATTTGGAGGATCATTCCAAGTTGATCGATTCTAAGAAAAAATTGAAATCGAATCTTTTTTCGAGAAAAACCTCAAATTGGCGATTCTGTCAGCGTCTTTCGTGTAATAGGAACTAGAGATCAACCGTAAGGTCGGGCGCAAAATTAAGGCTCTAAAAGTAAAGAAATTCTGTAGAAAATTTTTTCTTAAAAAGTTCATTTTTCTTCCGAAGCCGTATCGCCTAACAAATCGAAAAAATTTGAATTTTGCACATCTTCAAATGCGCCTCGAAGAATACTTTCTTTTTTACGTGTAGAGGGTTTCAATCAAGTAAAACAAAGTTATTCAGAACAATCGACCACGCTGAGTTCGAATATTCGAAATAGGACAACCAAAAAAGTAACAGGGTTCGTTATAGCCAATTTTGATTTTGTTGATAAAAAATCCCACCGATCCGAATGTTTTTGCGTTTTCCGCTTGATATATTTACTCTGTGAGAAAACGGTTCTCGTGTTGTACGCTTTGTTTCCTTCGACGAGTTTCGCGACCTTAAATTGGCAATTTTTCAAGGGATTCTCTACTACTTTTCGAAAATTTACCTAAAGAAGATTCTGAAACTCTCAATCTGCACAACTTCCTTGTTTTTGAGAAATATTGGTTCAGAGCCCCAATACGGCCTATTTTCACGAATTTTAAAGGGTTTTTTTTTTTGACTTTTAGGTGTGCTTTTGTGACTAATTTTCAAAAAATATCTAACCGCAGAGTGAAATGAGCTAAAAAAAAATCCTTCCAATTTTTTCTAAACTTATAACTAACCAATTCACTGGTGGTAGTTCCATTCTTCTTCAACGCCAGAACGTTTTCCTGCGTCAATTCTTGTCGTGCCTGTCAATTATTCATCTTTCTTGACCCTTTTTCTTGCTCGAAACTTCATCAACAGCCAATCGCAAGGCCGACGGGGCTATCGCAACTGGAGAAGCTGCCGTCTGCTCATCGGTACTTCCTTCAACCGAATCGGTTTGTTTCAGAACCGCCGCGAGCACTTCTGAAGCCGAGTTTCAGTTTTTTTTTCTGTTATACTAGAGTCATTTTGTCTCGGTTTGGAACGGCGGGAATTCGCAGTTCATGCGACGTGTTTTGACGCCGAATCAGAAAATATCGCACTAGTTGATGAAATTTATCTTCTTTCATCTAATATAAAACGCGTAAGAGCTTTCTAAGAACCTGATAACGCGAAAACGTTCAATTGGCACCGAAAAGGAGACGCGAATGAGGTGTTTCAAGCCGAGAAAATTGTAAAAGCGCGACAGATTTGAGTGACCCGAAATAAGCTTGTCAAACCTACAAACCTCCTCCTTTGAGATTTTCCTTTAAAAACACCAGCAAAATTTTCAAACCTTTGACCACTGCCGCATCTGGCTCAACAGAAGAAGAAGCTTGCTCGACTTCTTCCTCGATCAATTTCTCGACAGCAAGTGGTTGACATTGTTCCGACACTATTTCAAACAGCCCGTATGGCTTGCCAACAACACTGAGAAATTTTCAAAGTTATAATCTTCCTAGGGACAAAATAAATCAGAAACCTGTCCCCATCGAACTTCAACTTTTCGTGGCTAATCTTCAGCTTTGGAGTCAAACGGAAAACTTTAACGTGCTCACCATCAATCTAAACTTGCTTTTGATCGCCTTTTCAACGAAAATATTTTCAAAAAATTCATTTTTAAAACAAAACGAACCTTTTGAAGGGCTAAAAAGACGCCATACTTGATCAAACTGTCGCGGCTATGCGATTCGTCCATCGCCTAAAAATTTCCTATTGTTTCATTTCAAGAAAAATTTATAAAAAACCAAAGGAAAAACCAAAACATTCTGAAAAAAATTTTTTTGAAAAAGTTTTTTTGCAAAATTGCCGCAGGCAGTCTTGGTAACTGGGGCGCAATATGGTCCGTCTTTTTCAAAAAAGCCTCGTTCGCAACCATTCTCGCAACGAAGTTGGAGAATACACCTCAGAAACCGTTGATGAAGAGTAAACGAACGGGAAATAATGAGATTAAACTATTTTTCTCAAATAATACTGGCAAATGAAACAGGAACAAAATATTTGCCCAACAGTTTAATCTGACAAATCAACTACAACTGTTTAAAACGTAACTTTGAGAAATAAAAAAGTCTATACTATAAAAATTTACTTATTTCATAAGCTTTTTGTAAATGTTTGAGGAATCGAGCTGAACTTTCGAACAGGATTCAATCAATGACGTAAAAAAAGAAATGATCGAGAAAGCACTGATGTTTCAGAAAGGGACATGTCGCATGGTTGGTTTCGGTGGAACAACGGACTTTTTCTTTTTTAATTAGGTTGCAAAAAGATGAGATGAGTTTCTTCAAAGACCTTCTAAGCTTTCGTTTCTGTTGGGTCCCGAAACTTGAGTTTCATAGTTATCGAAGGAAAACCCCGCTTTTCGGAAGATTTTTTGGAATTCTGTCATCGAATTGGTTTTCTTCTGTCAGACATTACTTGAAAGCACTGTCCATTCAATTTTTTTTCTTCAGTGAAATGGATAAAGTTTTATTTTCGTTACTTTTCTGATTATTTAAAGCTAGAGAATACCATTATACTCGGAGTTGTGAGTTCGAAAAAAAAAAAAATGGAACTCAATTGAGAAAAAAAAAATTGTTGTGAGATACTGTTTCGAGCTTTGCTTCGTCTATGCTCCTTTCCACTATTAGCAATGATAAATATACACAATAAGAAACTGAAAAATAGAAAGCTTATTTGAGAAAAAACTTTCGAAGGGAAAAATTTAAAAAATTTAATATTTTCAGATGTTTTTTTCTAGGTTAATCATCACTCTTTCTTTAACCGATTCTCCGAGCGGAACGGGGAGAACCTGATCGGTCTCTGATCGGCGAAAACAATTGTTCCGCGATCGCTCTTTTTTGTTTATGATGATTTTTCAGTTGCATCTTTTCAACGCACACCTTCCTGCATATTTTTTCTCCGGTTTTTTGTTGAATTTCTTTTTCATTTCGTATTGTTGAGCGTTTCTTTATGTGGTGGAATGCCAACCATAAAGCTTCATAAAATGCGGTTTTTTAATGAAAACTTGAAGTGATAAAAAGTTTGCATTAAGAAAAGTCAGTTCAAAATTCCTCGCTGAAGCCTTTGAGAATCCACAAATTCAATAGAGCTCTCTATGAGACCATTCTATAAAAAAAATTCTTGATTATTCAGGCTTACTGTACTATTAAAAACCCTAGTTCGGAGCCTTGAAACATCTTATAATACTTTTAATGATCTTTAATATCTCGAGATTAACAAAACACTCATCATACACGCAAAAGCCCTATGCTGACACTCTAAAAAGTTTAAACTAAAAAATTTGCCTAAAAAATTTAAAAAACGCTTGAAAGCCCGAAGAAAGATATATAAAAACAATATTGATCACACCGTCAGTCTGATCAATAATCTTATCAATCTTGGGATATCCCCCGTTTCTTGACGCTTCACTTTCCTCCATCCTGTCCTTTTTCGCAGGAAAAAAACCCTCAAAAAAATAACTAAAATAATATATTTGTCTTCAAATCTATTAAAAAAATTGTCAGCCAGTTTCGAATAAAAAGCATTTTTCCGGTCAGCTGTTATTTTTTTTGTTCCCATGCTTTTTAACGAACAGTTGTTTGGATGGGCTCGGAAAAAAGAGAGAAAACTCTCTTTTAGCGTTTTTTTTTTTCTAAAATTCAATCAACTATTTTTCGCTTGAGAACTTTGTCGAGAGATTCGAAAAACTTTCTTTGCGGTATTTTCCCCCAAATATGTTGGCAATTTTGTAAATATAAATATTTACTTTATGCAAATGTTTTCGTACCGATGTTTTTCCAATGAAACCCCCCGCCCTCCCGTTTTTTTTAAAATTATTTTTTTCTCAACCTGAAATTAGAAATAGGATGCCTTTGCTTACACTATTGGATTAAAAGACTTGGAATTGTTTTCATTTCAAATTTTAAAACCTACTTTTTTTTCGCTTCCTCTAATCATATTGAGATCATTCTTTAAAAATTCAGTTACACTTTGAAAATCTTATGAATCAACTAGAAGGAAAGAAGGCTTTTTAGTGGAGAACTTTGTTTTGTTCACTTTATATTTCAAGAAAAAAAAAAAACTTTTCCTCTAAAAAAAACTTTTAATCCTGCTGAGAAGCCCAGATACACAAAAAAAAACAGCCGTTCAATAAAATTTTTCCAACCAACATTGTTTTACAAAGAGAAACCCCAAGGATATAGTTTCTTGATACTTTAGGAGATATACTTTTTTTAAAGTTCAACCTAATTCAGACTTCATGTCGGCTTTAATTTAATAATACTGAAGAACCTATTTGGAAATTGGTAAAAAGTTTTTTTATAATTGAGAAATAATTTGAAAAATAAGTCTGAATTCTAATAACTACTTCTTTAAATACTAATCTCAGTCTTCTTGATGTTCCCCGTTTTGTTTGAAAAAAACTTTACTTGTTTCTGGAATTTTAACAAATACAGAAAGAAACTTTTTTTCCAGCGTCAAGAATGCCGAAAAGAAACACCGCAGTATCGCCGGAAAGCGTTACGCCGTCGTACAAAACTTTTTCAAAAGGTTGGTTTAATTATCTTAAAAATTTCCGATGATTATCCTTCCCTATGACAAAGAAATCTTTGAAAACTCTTATAGACAGCTTGAAATGTCCACATGTGGCATTAATTTGAAAACAGAAAGAATAAAAATGTGAAATGAATGGTTCGTTTGAAACTCTAACTGATTGGTTCAAGGAGAGTAAAATTTTTTCACATGACTTTAGGTACAGGTCGTACAAAACTTGTACACCTTCGAACTCAAATAACAGAAAGAACTTTTGAACAGACTATATAATTAAAAAAACAAATAAAACAAAAAAATTTATAAAATTGAATGAAAAATCAAGACCGATCGATCGATGCTCCTCTCGGTGTATGTACGCTCCATTTCGAACAAAATGGCTCCTCGCATGGATTTACGCTGCGAACTTTTCATATTTTTTTTTCTTCTTCTTATTTTTTCCTTTTCTTCGAATTCCTTTCTGAAAAAGAAGTATAAAACTTTGAAAAAACCTTTTTTAAATACTGATCGAGGACGCCGAAGTTTGCCGAAGACCCGTTCAAAGGTTATCGAAGTTTTTTTTCCTTTTTTTTCTTTCCCTTGACTTCCTCGAATTAAACGACATTGACACATTACACATGAAGGCAAGGTGGAAAATCTTGTTCCACGTGAAAAATATATGTTACTCCAGTTCTGTTCCTTTTTCTTCACCCAATATCGTGGACTATATCGCAGTGAGAGTAATGCTATACCGCGGGAGAGCCGCGAGCAATATCTCTCGCCCCTCGCTGCGATCTCGCAAACGTCTTGCGCTATATCGCTCTTTGAAAAATGTTTCTTCAAAAAAGTTGTTTTCTTTAATTTGATTCATCATTATAAAATTCAAAGATAAAGCAAAAAAAGTTGTTTTCAATTTTTTGAGAGGGAGCGTTATGGCAGCGAGACTTTGACAGGATTGCAGCAAGAATTAATTGGCTATATCGCCTGCGGCCCGCTGCGATATAGGCAATCATGTTTGGTGTTTGTATGTACGGTCCCTTCTTAAAATCCTCTTGAAAAATTCCGTATATCAGTTAATCTTTTTCTTAATTTTAGCGGTTTCTGTTGAACTTGGTTTTCATGCTTTTTCATCTTGCTTTGAGAAACTGTTCAGAAATTCATGAACTTTTATAATTTTTTTAGAGCTAGAACCATTGTTTTCCGATTAATATTTGTTATATTCTTTTTTTTCAACCAATGTAAAAAAAACTTGAGATATCGCAAATTTGCGCAAAGAAAAACAGCTGAAGCGAGAAACAAATAGTTTCGGTTCAAGTGTCCCACTTGAAGTAAAACTTGAGAAACGGGCTGATTTTCTGTTTTTCTGTGTTTCAGTCGAGTTTAAAAGCTGCTCAGAAACATATTGAGGCGAAAATTCTGCTTAATTTCTGTTTATTCAGCCTTACTGAAAAGCTGAAAAGCTTTGAAAATTAGCTTATTTTGATTTTTATTCCAAAATTTCAACTTATTCTGAGGATATTACTATTCTGTACTATACAAATTTATTTGAGCCTGAATTCTAGGCTTGTCAAAAACAATTTTCTTTCAAAGTTTATTCAAATTGGAAGAAGAGGAATTATATTGACCATTTTCCGGGATTTTCTATTTATTCAGCCGTTTTCAAGTTCTATCGTCAAAAAAGGCTTATTTTCAACTTTGAGAGTTGAACAGCTATTGTTGTTGAAGTGGAATTTATAAAATTCTATATCTTGTAAATGTATTCCAATGTCAAAATATTGACTGTTTTGGTTCTTAACCTGTTGATTCAGCTTTATTTCGAGCTATAAGCTTTCGAAATTGGCTTATTTTGAAGCAAAATCTGTTTGAAGATTCAACTTATTTTTAAGCTGGTATTGCAAACTATTGAATCCTCACTGAAAACTCAACATCTACAACCTTGTCCCTTGAAAAGATCACTGAAAAATACTCAACTATATATTGAAACTGTACAAGTCGAGAGGAAGGAACTCCACAGACCTGCAAAAAGAAAAAGAGAACCAGACGGTCGCAACACCAACCAATTCTTGATCTCATTCCACTCAATTACTTCTCCCCTCTTTTTTCTCACTTCAATTCTTATCAAACTGTCTGACTACCCCCCATCTTCATCACCTAATCAGTCCATCTGATAAGGCCAAACTCCACAAAAAAAAAATCACATCTACCCAAAAAATGCCGCTTCAATTCTTCGAGTTAGATCCGATGATCGTGGCGCCGGCCGGCGACGACGTCAAACGCGACGTCGTCGCTTCTGATGACGTCATTCGCGGCGTCTTCAAAGTCGACGTCAAGGATGATGCGGCCCGGCAACGCGCCGTCACCATCGTCAGAACCAAGGGAATTTCGTGGGTTTTTCAAATCGTTTTTTCAAAGTTTAGTTGCTTTTTCTTGATTTCTAATAAAAAAACTTAATTTTAATTTTTAAAGTCTAATCCGTCCGTAGAGCGCTTTGATCAATTTTTGAATTTTTTTTTAACGATAAATTTTAAACTCTCCTTGGAAATCTCGAAAAACGGCGTATCTTACACTTTAGCCTTCCAGGGACGTTTTTAAACGCCCGATTGAACTTTTGCTGAAGCTTTTCTGAAGTGTACTTTAGGACCCTGTACTTTCAGAACAAGAAGAAAATTTCTCGCAATAGATCTTGTTTCCGAGAGCTTCAAAGTGTGCAAAATACGCAAATTAGGCCAAAAATACGATATTTCGAGCTTTTGAAGTGTCCTGACTCGAAAACGAAATCTATTGCGAGAAATTTTTTCTTCTTGTTCAGGACTCAAGGGGGGGTAAAAAACGTTTCCTAGTCAGTTGGTTAGTCCTTAGCCTGTCACTCGAGAGATCGTAGGTTCAAATCCCCATCAACGGAATTGTCTTTCCCATCGCTCGAAATGAATATATAATCAATTTTCAGAGCCACATCCGGATTAATCAATTTTATCTGTGGGATGATCGGGCCTGGATGCTTCTCACTGGCCATTTCTTTCAAAGAAGCCGGTTTATGGGTGAATTTTCCTTCCGTTTCTCACTGAAATCAGTGTTCTTATCATCGAAAATAAAATGTTTTCAGGGCGGCTTCATTTTGGTATTTGTGATCGGATTTCTCAGCCTGATATCCATGCACAAAATCGTCAACTGTTCACAATATTTGGCCAAAATGTCAGTTTTTTTTAAATCAATGTCTCGGAAGAGTCGGGTTTAATCACGATGTTTTTTTCGAATTACATCTAGAGTTTTCTGAAAGTTGGAGGAGCCTTGAAAAAATTGTTTAAAGTTTTTTTTCCCATCCATTAAATCCACAAAAATTGGTTCTCACTACCGCGCCCTTATTACAATGAGCCGCGCCAACATTGCATAAGGCCACGCCCACTGACCACAACCATCGCCTGTTTAGGAACACCTTGCATAACAAATTGTAATCATTAGAGAGCTGAAAAAGGAAAATATTTCGACATATTCAGAAACGGAGATCAATCTTTGGACTATGGAGAAATGGCCGAAGCTGCCCTTCTCAACAGTTACAGCGCCGTCAGGCCTCACGCCAAAAAAGCCAAGTCTGTTAATTTTTTTCTAATTTGGTAATTTTCCGCAACACACAAACTGCCATAGATATAATGTTGTTTCAGAATGATCGTAAACGCCTGCCTTCTATCCTTCCAACTCGGCGTCATCAGTGTTACATTGGTTTTTTCAACGGAGCACGTTATGGAGGTGAACTAAAAATTGAAGGAAAATACATAAAATACCATGCAATAGTTCCAAAAATTCTATTGAAAATCTTTTTTTAGGTCTACGAGTACGCCTTCGGACACCCGCCACCATTCCCGAAAAAGATCCTGATTCTGATATTTTTCGTCCCTCAGCTTCTGCTCAACTTCATTGGCCACATCAAAATGTTGACGGTTTTGTCGTTGTTCGGCAACGTCGTCATCTTCGCCGCCATGAGCTTGATCGCCAAGGTTTGCTCGGGAAAAAATCCTGGTCGCCTTTGGATTGCTTCGTCGCGCTGCGGTTCAAGTTAGATTATGACGCCCCCACTCGGAATGCCGCTGTGTCTGAAATACCGCGAGGCGCAAGTCGCTTTCAGATCGGTTCATAAAAACCTCTCGGCAGCTTTTGCGCGGTGAGCCTTTCCCTGTGCGACCAAAATTTTCAAAATCTTTCATTTACTCTTCTATTTCCTTCACTAAAGGGATCCCTTCCAAAACCCTATGAAACAAGAAATAACATGCATTTTCATTAAGTTTCCAAATATTCGTCCTCTTTTAAAGCCCCTGAGGAACTCCTCTAAGAATTCACTGAAGTGCTCACTTCCAGGAGCTTCTGTTCCACGATTGGTACCCGGTGACGTCACTCCACAGCTTTTCCGGGATCGAAGGAATGTCCATCGCAGCGGGAGCCTTGATTTACTCGTTTGAAGGACAGGCGATGGTGATTTTTTTTCACTGATTTTTTCGTCTTTCAGCTTCCTTACACTAAGAAGGCTTTATTCTACGGAAATGAAATAATTTTTTTTCGAAATTTTGATCGATCGGGACTCACTTTTTCTTCCCTAATGTAAAGCTAATTAATGGAGCAGCAAGCGTCTTTCAAAATCACAAATAATTCAAGGTCCTACCGCTAGAAAACTCCCTGAAAAGGTCGGCGGACATGCGCGGAGTGACGGGCGTCCTGACGACGTCGATGAACCTCGTCACGATCCTCTACGCCTTCCTGGGATTCTTCGGCTACGTCACCTTTGGCGACAACGTTCAAGGAAGCCTAACCTTGAACCTTCCGAACTCTGTGTAAGTTTACCTGATTGGGTACAGCTAAAAGTAGAAATTTGAAAGATATTAGGCTCAAGGTCAAGTTTTTTCTTGCTGGTCCCGAAGGTGTGCTCTGAAATTTCAAAGAAAACTATAATTGATTGAAATCGAGCTTGTCAAACCAGTAAAGGCTTGTTGGAATGCCCGAGCAGCTGCGTATCTCAAATCAGAAGTTTTCTAAAACACTGAAAGACCTGTGACTTTGCGGCCACTGGCTCCACCTATCAAACGTAAAAGCTGAGAAAACTTCTAGAGATCACTTTAGGGTTTTGCGAGAACCAAAAATGGAATACTGGATGAAAAACTACAATAGTGCATCTAACAGAAGTTTTTTTTAGTGACCAGCTCAGTTTCCTTTTCAAGTAGCCCTTAGAGAACCTCTCAAGTGGCCGCGAAAATTATCCCAGAAGAGGAGAAGCGGATTTTTACAACTTTCAGAGGTCGTAACTGTTTTCACAGACCTCTGCGGCTATTTTAAGGACAGATTCGGAATCAGCGTGAAAAACTTCATCTGTTGGATCCAATTTGAAAAATTTTAGGTGAATAAAACCTCTTTTCAGTTTGTCGGTGTCCATCAAGGCGTTGCTAGTCGCCAAAATGTTCTTCGGAAGCGCTCTTCAGCTTTTTGTGATCGTCCAGATGCTCTGGCCTTCGGTCAAAGCACGTCTTCCGGAGGACTCTAAAGTCGCCCAAAAACTGGGTCCCTACGCTCTTCGGGCCGGCCTGATGTTGATTTCTCGTGAGTTTTGAAGGGACTGTATCGAAAAAATGCCGTTTTATGAAGATATTTCAACTTCAAATCAAGTTAATGAAAATTTCTTTCCACGTCCCATGTATTTCCCCCAAAGCGCATGATTGATTTATTTATTTTCCCTTGTTCCGAATCATTTTATGGCTTTTTTATTGGCCAGCGCCTGTTTCCCTTGGCCAGTTTTTTTTTCAGTTTTCAAGAACTTTGAAAAAAAATTTTTTATATGATACAAGTTTGATTTAGAAGAACAAAAATATTATTTTTTCAAGGTTTAATGATTAAGTTTCATATAGAAAATGAACTTTTTTTGAAACCTCTTGAAGGATCAAAAATCAAGCATAGACAATGTCCGAAATTTTTTTCAATTTTTTTGGATAATTTTTTTCTGAATCTTCTCAAATTATCTAAATATCCTGTGCTAATAGAAAAAGTTCTTCTGTGTTGAATACATTTGAACATCTTCAAGTTCGAATCAACGATTAGAAATGAAATGTTTTCCAGTGGTGATGGCAGTCCTGGTGCCGAATCTTATGGACATCATCCCCTTGGTCGGCATCACCTCGGGAATGCTCCTCTCCCTGATTTTACCCTCATTTTTGGACCTTATGGTCTTCCTCCCAATGTATTCCAAGCAACAGGAACGGCGCAAATTTGTTCAGAAACTGGTAATCAATATATTTTTGTTCATTCTTGGCTGGTGCTTCCTAGTTTCAGGTCTTTATTCTAGCATCGAAGCCATCATTAACCATCATCGGCAGGTCTAAGACTATTAATTTTTTTTTGTGGCATTTGGAAGGGTTTTTGAAAAAGAAAAACAAGAAGATTTTCGTCTTTAATGTTCTTTTGTTGAAAAAATTGATAGTTTTCTAATGTTCATATGAAGCCTACAAAAAAGGAGCGCAGACTCAGGAACCGAACCTGTGACCTGAATACCTGTAACCAGTAATAGACAAAATCCTAATCAACTGAGCCTTCCGTTCATTTTTCGACACACGATTATCTCTAAGTATCCGCATTAGTTTTTTAACACACGTTCTCTGAGATTTTCGAAAATACGTTGGTACAATAATTTTCAAGTTTGTTTTTTCGAGCTGAAGTTCATGTCACATGTACTATGCGACCTTCTTAACACATGACACCCGGTTTCGACAGGCTCCGCCCACTTTCAGGGTTATGGTGGAGAAAATACCGTAAAAAGCTAACTTTTTTCCTGGTCGAGCAAATCGGTTCAAACCAACTGTAACGCAAAGAGCACGTCATTTTGAACATTTTTCATGTTGAAACCTACTCTGGAAAAAATTTTCTTCTTGTGGAAAAAAATCGCTGAAAGTTGAAAAATGACGAATTCCGCAGTTTTTGAGCTCTACTAAAATGGGGACCCCCGATGGCCTTGATTTTTATTTTCTCAATCGATGTATTGAGGTCTTGTGTGTTCGAAAAAAATATCCCTATATTCAAGTTTTAAGTGTCGTAGTACATCACCATCTCAAAGAACGCGTCCAACTTGAAATTGGCCAAAACTTCAAAAAAATCCACAACTTTTTTTGAGAGTTTGATTTCAGTTGAGTTTTTTTGTTCTTGATGTACTACAACTAACTTGTTTTTCAACTCAGGACAGTAAAAAGTGGAAAAACGAAAACTTGAAAAAAATTTTTAATTTTTCAAGTTTTCGATTTTTTTGGACTTTTTTTGTTTTTTTCCCCCAGCTTTTGCTTTTTCACCTCTGCTGAGGAGAGGACCCTAGAAGGCCTGAAATTTTATTTGATAAAATGATTAATCAGGTCTTGCTTAGTTCAGAAAAAATATTCTCGTCTTCAAGTTTTGAGTGTTGCAGTTGACCACCGAAGCGCTGAAGCTGGCGACCTCAAAATCGAGTAAAAATGAAAAAGTTCATAAACTCAGTTTTTCACTTGAAAGTGAAAGGTATCCTTCCCAAAACTTTCCTTGAGTACATCTCATTGAAAAAATGCATTTTGCCTGTGAAAAAATGACATTTTTTCGTTTTTTCCAAAATTTTCCACTTCAAGGTACATTTTCCGGCCTGAGAAATTTCAGTGTCCGTTTTTCTGAGCGAAACTTTTTTCATGTGTCTTCTGGACCTTGTATATACCTGAAAGTAAAAAAATTGCCTCAAAATTCCTTTGAAACTCGGAGAAAAAAGAAAGAATTCGCTCAGAATCTCGTATTTCTGGACTTTTTCAAGATCTTTTTTGATACTTTCTACTGGCAAAAGGTTTGAACTGAACTCAGTTTGATGCAATCCGGTAAACTCTAAAGAAACTTCAGCGTAAATCCTGTCAAGACCCACATATACCACGGAAAGAGCGCTACCTAGTGTTTGAATCGGTCATTTTTGCTCAAATTTTCAGGTGATCTTTTTTT